AAACGAAAATGAATTGAAAACTAGACTCAAAGGGTAATGTGACACTACAATTCCCAACAACTTAAGCTTTGCAGATAAAATCAGTTTTTGGAAGGAAAATGGCTGTCTAAGAATGAGCGGAAAATAAAGTGTTTCGGAAACCTTCATTCATTTGAAAATATCCGGAGCTATGAAAATTCCAATAAATTCATTTTTAGAAAGTAGACTTAGGGAAGTATAAAACTAAAATTTTTTATAAAGATTCGGTCTTGAAAAGTTGGTCAAATAATTCAAGCAAAATCTGATTTCCAGCAGATGTAAAATTCGGATAGCTGGTACTCTCAAATTTTTAGAAAAATATTTGTTGATCCAAAAATTACAAAATTTTATGGAGAAATACTAGATGCATAAAGGAAGTTGTGGTAAAAATTTGAAAGCATTTGGATCAATACAGCTCATTGGAGAAATTTTTGAATTTCAGCAAAATTGAAAGAAAAGTGAATTTCCGGCAACAAAACAAACAATTTCCGATTCCCTATCATCAATTCATCATTCAAACCCACAAGGAATATAAGAAAGAAGTCTCTAGATATCTATTTACATAGAAACAGATACATTTACACACCAAGGTCTCCATACAGATGGGTAAAAACTTAGTCAATTCACAAAAACTACATTGGTATACACATAAAAGAGGGTACAACTAATACCCTGAAATAGGCTAAACCCATACATTAACACCATAGCATGCTTCACCCCTTAAGCCAACTATATACAACATCAAAACCAAATATATACAATAGAAGAGCATGCTAACATTTTCGAACCAGCACAAAGAGTGACAATTCTACAACCTGCTATAAGAGTCATACTATAACTACTATAATAAAAGCCAAAATAAAACTTATCATACTATCAGCTTAATTTCATCAAGCAACATAGGCTTCAATCCAAAATATATCCCAGTGCAAAAGCAAGTCATGGACCACAATTAGCATCCCTACGTCCACCATCTCGGTTGACGGTACCTGAAAATTGTTAGGAGTGAGACAATGCCCAGTAGGAAAATTCTAATGATGCCTCAATGAGGTTTTGTTCTTTTAATTATAGACTATGTTATATATATCAGAATTTTATATTTTCATACAAAAGAACAAACAAAACTCACAATGAGCTAACAAAATATTCAGGAAATTTGTTAAAAAAAAACCATATTCTTTTCTTTGGTACAATTCATCGAACACCTTCAACTCATCCCAGAGTGTCCCACACTGTCACTCCCACACCGATCAGTGTGTAAACATCTCCCAAATACCCAAACAAGGGTCTACAGCTGCGGGTTTTGGGACTTTCACCCTAGGGTAGTTCGTACCCTCTTTTCCCTTCCGAGACTTCACGCACCCAGTCTCAATTCACGCAAGAAAATATGTTCTCATGATGTCTATTGTACCAACTTAGAAGTTCAAACTTGAAGGAAGTCTACTAAATTTGTTTCTTGAGCACAAACCAGTAAACATCTCACTTTAACACAAATGCCTAAAGGGTTTTCATAAAACCTTAACTGGAAGTACCCTTATTTTCAAATAATTAAAGAAAAAAATCAGTTTTTAACATGATATAAACAATGCTTGTCTCAATCTTTCAAAAAGGAAAAATCAGAACCTACACATATTAGAAAACATGACTTTCAAAAATTCTAAGCATCACAACTAGAGAGAAATATTTCATGAGCTTACAGAGAAAGAAATTTCAATATAACATATAGGACTATCAAAGAAATTTTAGAGAATGAAAATGTCCCAAATCAGCAAAATTAGAGAATCCCTACCAATTACATAGATGAATAAACAACTCCCCAGCCTTCCTCGGCGTCCCTTTTTCTTCCTCTTTTCCTTGCTCGATCTTCCTCTTTCCCCTTTCTGTTAGTTACTTTTAGATATTCTTACATGCAGAGAAAATATGTGGAAGGGCCTAAGCTTGGTGTCTTGGTGTCAATCGTAGAACACAAACGTGTCCTTAGGATGCTAGGAATAATGACAAGTGTTTCCCACTAATATATAAATCTTATGTAAATTGCAAGTGTTCCCCACCATCTAATTTAAATATAGAGGAACAGCAATACTTCCCCACAATTTCCTCTAATAGTGAACCCGCATAACTTAGCTAACTAATTGCATCTTTGGCCCACCCTTCTACCTAAAACAAGAAAAATAATACAACACTACTATGGAGAAAAAAAAAATAGTTTCAGCATAATAGAGATAAAACAACTTAACTCACAAAGAATAGGAAAATAAATCTTGATGCATTTTAAATATTAAGGATAAGAAAAAAAAAAAAATTCATGTGGCAGCAAGAGAAAAAAAAAAAAAAAAAAAAAAAAAAAAAAAAAAAAAAAAATTTGCAAATAAAACATAATTTACTTAAGAATATAAAGAACCTAATAAAAACCCAAGATGTCACAGATATGGACAGAATAGCACTATTAGGGTTTCGTTTTGCTCCTACAGATCAAGAACTGATCATTCAATATCTGCAAAGAAAGGTAAAAGAAGAATCATTGTCTTCAGATGTCATAAATGAGCGCGAAATTTATGGCAAATCCCTGTGAAATGTATTCCAGACAAAAGATCCATGGCACACGACCAACAAAGACAAAAGGGAATTCATTATCTACGCGTTCGCGAGGTTGAAAAAAATTGGCGCCAATAAGAGAACTTTGAGGAGAGCCGGGTGCAGGACATGGGATGGCCAAACCTAGCCTGAGAATATTTATAATCGACAGAAACAGCTTATCGGAATTAATAAGTTATTGGTTTTCGAAGTGAAAGTGAATAAAGATGAGTGCTCTCCCATATCGTGGGGTCATTGGAATATGCACGAGTATTTGTTGGATGATGTGAGTTTGGATGGGTTGGGAGAAGAAGGCAATCGTAATTACGTTGTTTGCAAGATAAAAAGAGATGATTCTAAATTTCTCAAGTGAGTGGCAAAGCGTGTTCATGGGGTGGTCATGGAGGAGCAATTGCTGATGATGCTGATCATGGTTGCAAGTCAAGTCTTTTGGGATCCAATAAAGAAAACGTTACTACCAACAGGCATGTGGCCTAGCGGTACAAGGCTCCTACTTCCCAAAAGGAGGTCATGCCCAAAAAATATCATATTCGTAAAGCAGAAACATAGATGCACTCCTATGAATGTGGAAAATATACCAAAGTAGTCGATTCAAATTGAAATTGTCAAGTTATCCATAATTGTTTAGTCAAAACAAAAATTCATTTTGATCGAACTCTCTAGTTTCCTCAGTAAAGGGAAGATGCGATATGTCAATGCGTGCTCCTCGTATGGAATTGAAATCTTGGAATTAAAATTGAAAAAAATTTTGATTTAATTTTTTGAATTGTTTTTCACTAATTATTTCCATGTCAAAGCAAAGTAGCCAATAATTTTGATAAAGATAAAGTTAAGATGATATTAAGTCTCTATAGTAATATGTGTATGTCCCTTCTTTTTATTCCCGTGAGCCATTCAATCCGTTAATCCGTCCAAATACGCTTGGAATTAAACAAATTTAAGTAAATGATTTAAATTGTGGGTTATGATCTGGATCACACAATCAATCTAAGGGGTGTTGCTCTATTAATGCTCCCCCGAGCAAATCTTTTTCCCAATTCATGAATTTAATTGGGTAATTTTTATTTGGACCCCTGAGTATATGTCTATACTTCACATTATTATTTTACTCTAACAACAAAAGCTTGGTAAATGTTTGAAAATTAAATTTGTTTTGAAAATTATATTAGTTCCTAATTTTTATTTTTTTTAAAATTAAATTTTAAAGTTAGGATCCAAAGGTTTAAATTAGTCAATAATTTTTTATTTTTGAAAATTAAATTTATTTTTGAGAATTAAAATTTACGAAGGGGATTTTAATTTATGATTTTATTAAATTAGTATTGAATGAGGAAAGGTTTAAATTAGTTACTAATTTTTTATTTTTAGAAATTAAATTTTACAAAGAATAGGAATTTAATATTGTGTTTGGAGGGAATAAACTCAAAGTGACTTACCTTTTTTAGTTTTACTTTTAGTTAAGAAGTTTATTATTTTAGAATTTTTTAAAATAATCCTTTGATGTATAAAATTTAAACAATATTTCTTTACGAATCTAATATATATATATATATATATATATATATATATAAATTTTTGAGCTTACAATTTTTAAAAAAATAAAAAAATATTAAAATTACATTTCTATTATTTCAAAAATTATATAAATGACCTTTAAAATAAATATGAATATTGAAAACATTGTGTATGTATAAGCACAGTAATAAAATACAAGTGAAATGATTAACCATCTCTTTTAAATTGTTATTTAACTATACAAGTGGAATTTTGGTATTGGTCGTACGATGTCCACGTGAATTGTTCGCGTACGTCGTCGTAATGTCAACAAATTACTCCTCTAGAATTTAATTACTACATAAATAAAGCGTGGCGGTAAACTCTCTCTCTCTCTCTCTCTCTCTCAATTGGCAAAATAACAATTCAGAGTGTGTGCCATCAACTCACTCCTGCCTTCCTCTTTCTCTCTCTACAATGATCTCAAAATGATGCAGATGGCCTCAAAAAATCCTCTGCTGTCATCGATTCCTTCCCTTGTTCTAGGGTTTGTGTATCTATATAATCTATAGACATAACCTTATATGATAAGTTAGTCTTAATCCTATATGGTAATCTATAGACATAACCTTATATGGTAAGTTAGTTTTAATCCTATATGGTAATCTATAGACATAATCTTATATGGTAAGTTAGTCTTAATCCTATAAGGTAATCTATAGACATGGCCTTATATGATAACTTAGTTTTAACCTTATATGGTAATCTATAAACATAACCTTATATGATAAGTTATTTTTAACCCTAGTCCTTTCTTTTTATATATTCTCTCTGTTTTAAAATAATTTTTTTTTTTCTTTTTTAAAGTAGGATAGTAAACAGTTGAAGTAGATATGGCTAGAATACCATTAGGGTTTCGATTTGCTCCAACAGATCAAGATCTGATCATTCAGTATCTGCGAAGAAAGGTAAAGGGAGAATCATTGTCTTCAGATGTCATAATTGAGCGCGAAATTTATGACAAATCCCCATGGGATGTATTCCAGGCGAAAGATCCATGGCACACGACCAACAAAGACAAAAGAGAATTTGTTATCTACGCGTTCACGAGATTGAAGAAAATTGGCGCCAAAAAGAGAGCTTTGAGGAGAGTTGGGTGCGGGACATGGGATGGCCAAACCCAGTCTGAGAATATTTATAATCGACAGAAACAGCTTATCGGAGTCAAGAAGATGTTGGTTTTTGAAGCGAATGTGAATACACATGAGTGCTCGATTATGCCGCGAGGTCATTGGATTATGCATGAGTATTCATTGGACGGTGTGAGTTTGGATGGACTGGGAAAAGAAGGCGATCGTGATTACGTTGTTTGCAAGATAAAAAGAGACGATTCTAAATTTCTCAAGAGAGCAACAAAGCGTGTTCATGGGGGTGGTCATGGAAGAACTATTGATGATGATGATGATCATGGTTGCATGTCAAGTCTTTTGGGATCCCATGAAGAAAACCCTACTCATAAGAAGATGCGATATGTCAATGCTACTCTGAAAAAAGAAAAAAAAATTTAAAGTCATAAATTTTAATTTTGTTTAATTTGTGTTTGGGGTAGTAATTTTTCTTTAATTTCACAACCTTAGATTTTTGCACTGTATTTTTTTTTTTATGGCCAGTTGATTTGGAAGCTTAGGCCTTCCCGACTTTATTTTACAACTTTATTCTACTGAAATAATTTTGATAAAGATGATTTAACTAGTGGGTTATGTTCTGGATCACTCAATCACTCGAACCAATTCATGAATTTAATTGGGTAGTTTTTATTTGGATCCCTGAGTATGTCTATACGTCACATTATTATTTTATTGAAGAGCAAAAGCTAGGTAAATGTTTGAAAATTCAATTAGTTACTAATTTTTTATTTTTGAAATTAAATTTTAAAGATTAGGATCCACCAGGAAAAGATTAAAATTAGTCAATAAATTTTTATTTTTGAAAATCAAATTTATTCTGTAAATTAAAGTTTACAAAGGGGATTTTAATTTCTGTTTTTATCAAATTAGGATCGAATGAGGAAAGGTTTAAATTAGTTACTAATTTTTTATTTTTGGAAATTAAATTCTACAAAGAATAGGACTTACTCAAAGCTGACTTACCTTTTTTAGTTTTACTTTTATTTAAGAAGTTTATTATTTTAGAATTTTTAAAAATAATCCTTTGATGTATAAAATTTAAATATGAATCTAATATATATATATATAAAATTTTGAGCTTACAATTTTTTTAAAAATAAAAAATATTAAAATTACATTTCCATTATTTCAAAAATTATATAATGACCTTTAAAATAAATATGAATATTGAAAACATTATGTATATATAAACACAAGTGGAATGATTAAACCATCTCTTTTAAATTGTTAATTAAGTACTACATAAATTAAGCGTGGGGGCAGACGTTCTCTCTCTCTTAATAGGCAAAATAACCATTCAGAGTGTGTGCCAACTCACTCCTGCCTTCGTCTTTCTCTCTCTACAATGATCTCAAAATGATGCAGATGGCCTCAAAAACATCCTCTGCTGCCATGGCTTCCTTCTCTTGTTCTAGGGTTTGTTTCTCTCTCTTCCAAATCTTTTTTTTTTTTTTTTTTTTTCAATATTTCTCTTTATACGTACATATATATACTGTTTATATATTGATCTCATTCCTGGAAATCAGTTACCCCTCTCGATTTTGTTGGAAGTTATCTGAAACGTTTGATGTATGAAAATTTTGTACCCATTTGAAAAAATTGCAATATGAAGTGGTAGTATTGTAATTGATGTGGGTTTTAGGTTTGGGAGAAGGGTTGGTAAAAATGAATGTGTTGAAGGATTTGGTCTTGTGCCTTTCTAATTGGAATCGTTGATTAGAGGCTTTTATTCATTTGTTTATATATAATTTTTTTTTTTTATTTTGTATAATTTTCAGTCGTATACTTTGTACATGTTTTGCCTTTCAAAGAATGTCACTGTTGGCAGTTATGGGGTGTGGTAAAGTGTATGCAGTATGCTAATTTGTGAATTCTGAAAGTTTAAATTGATATGACCAATGGGCATTAGCCTAGATGGCATGATCTCTCCTCTCCAGAGGGGCAATATTGTGTGCGCGGGGCGTTTGCTTGAACTCCCAAATCTCTCTCCCCCCCCCCCCCCCCCCCCCCCCCCCCCACCCCCAAAAAAAAAAAAAAAAAGATTTTAATTTGATATGGTTTCTCTGTAAGGTTATTATTTCAGTATCATTCTCTGTCTACATGCATTTAGATCCCCTTTCTTAAGTTGGAATTTTAATTTTCATTGAATTTTGTATTTATGGTTATGCAAATGGTTCCGATAACGACTGTGACTTGGGCCTGTTTTTATGTGAGTTCAAAACTTATATTCATTTTATGATCCAAGTAGTGGGTTAAGGTGTGCTTGAGTTTTCCTCGTCATATGATATTTACCAACAGTGGCTTTTCCTGTCATAGATGCTTGTTTTCACACATGTTCTTGGCATAGTTGACAACATTTCATAGGAAAGTAGTTTTTACTTTAGCATTTTAGCTAAGCAATCCAGATTTTCTATGGTCACCAATTCTTTTTCTGATTTTTTGCCAATGCTAGTTCACTTTTTATGAATGAAATCTGAACCCTCTCCCTTTTTTCAATTGTGTTAGACGGGGAGGGAGCTTTGCATATGGCCAAGCATGAGGCAACTTTTCCTTAGGAAAAATCTCTTATATGGATTTGTGAAGTTCCTGTCGTTGCCATTCAAAACCTTGCGGGGAGTCGGTCGTTCCCTTGGAGTTCGTCATTTATGCAGCGTTATCAATGTTTCTTCTACGTTGCAAATTGAATTGGTGAGCAGATGTTCCTTCTTCTTTTTTTTCCCCTGGTGTATAATTAATGATTTGGAAACTTTGTGGCCGCTATATGATCCATTTTTTGAGGTGCTTAAATATTGGCAATATTTCTTTATAACTATTTTGCCATTCCCTTTATAATTTTCTGTCAAACTTATTTTTACTTTTGCAAATGAAAACGTTATGTGACATTAATTATGAATTTTCTATGCCTTAAACATTTTCAAGGATGCAATGCATCTGAGATATTATTATTTTTTAAACTAAAATAACTTTCCATTTGATATTATATGTTTTACAAATGCAACTGAATTTATGATTTTTTTTATCGTATTAATTTAATATGCAACATTTTCTGCACAAGTAGGGTAGTGTCTCTTGTTGTCTTAGATGTGTGCTTCCTTAATTTATTCTAGCTGAATTTATATAATTTCATCTGCTTGTGCATGTGTGTTCATATTTATGTAGAAACTTGCACACAATACAGAGACACACATTGTATCATCCCAGATTACGAGCATTTTGCATATGTTTCCCTGTCCTTGTTAATCTTTGATCAATTTTCCCGTCAGCAGGTACCATGTCTCAACGACAACTATGCATATCTTCTACATGATGTGGATACTGGCACTGTTGGAGTCATTGATCCTTCTGAAGCTGCACCTATTATAGACATCCTGAGTAGGAAAAATCATAATTTGACCTACATACTGAATACTCATCATCACAGTGATCACACTGGTGGGAACATGGAATTAAAAGAAAGGTATGGTGCAAAGGTATGGTGAATTTATCTTCAGGTACAATTTATATGTCAATATTTTATTTTTAAAAGGTATATGTTAGATATTTGAATGTTGCTTGAAAGAACAGTAACTCTAAAGAATAGAATTATCTCAAGTCCAATTATTGTTTTATTCGTTTTGTTGCTAATTAACCATGCTGCGTGGAGTGTTGGAACTTTTTGCTTTGGTCAATGTTACCCCCATCTGCACAATAATGCTTGCATGGAGGAAGATCTCGGATTACTGTTTATCTTGAAAAAAGTAACTGATCTTCTCTTACCCTTTGAATACGATAGTTCCCAAATTCTTCCAATAACAATGTACTACTCTGTGGCTATTAAAGATTTCAGAAAGATGATTAAATGCTCAATTAGAAAGATAAATACTTGAAACAAAAGGGGACGGTAACCTTAAGTGAGTACATTTGTCTTGGAAAATTTCACATGTCAATTGGTGTGATTTTCTCAAGTACAAAGCTGACTAGCAGCCTTCGTCTAACTCTTGTTATCAATTGTCATCTTACCACATATATGGTGACAATTAGTGTAAAGTGATTACCAGTTGTTATCTTAATTTTCATTCTATTAGAGTTAAAACTACACTTTAAGGCTTCTTTCTACGAGCGTTGCTACAATTTTCAAAAATTGACTGAGTTTTGATGCCTTGAACAGAAACTTGGTGCTATTAGAATAGTTTATTATACTTCCTTTACTTGATAGGTTTAAAGTACATTGAACTTTGCGTTCTTAATTATGATATTCAATTGATCAAAACACATAGGTTAAGCATATACATGGGTAACATGATGTTGATTATAGAAGACAGACCCTTTGGCCTAAATTTGGGGCTGCAGGGCAATGCCAGTAGGAGACATTTTTGGCTCAAATGAAGTAGACAGTGGTAATTGTTTAGCTTATTAGCTTTTGCAGTACTGTAGTTCTGACCTCTAATCTATGTTTTACCAAGAAAAAGTTATCTAGAATAGTATGCTAAACATGAGTCCTGTTACTTTCTAATGGAGTAATGTTTTTTTTTTTTTTTTTTTTTTTTTTTTTTGTTTTTTTGTTTTTTAAGTGGCATACATATTGCCACCTTAAATTAATACACGAGGAATAAGAAGTGAATATCCTTAGGGGCCATTGCTTGGTATTGGTAAAGCTTGGTCTGTTAAGCGTGAGAATGTTGGTTTGAATCCTGGGTGCATTTACTTTTTGCATTTAATGCTAAAGATTAGGTCTCCAGGCACCCTCGATCAATGGGGATCGCACTGGATAATGAAACTCTTAAGTAATTTTTATTCAAAGTGACACAAGAACCAAGAAAACAAGACTCTATGTATAACATTGTATTATCTCATTTAAAGGGATGTTTGGAATGAATGTAAATTCCTTTTTTTTTTTTTTTTTAAAGATAACTGAATAATTGGAAGTTAAAAAAGTTGTTTTTGTTTGTTTCTCATAAAATACTTTACAATTCTTACTGTTGAGAACGAGAGTATCTTTCTATGACTCTTTCTAAAGTAATTTTGAAAATTGATATGAAAACTGCATGTTTTTTGATAACATAAAAGGGTTATTGCTTAGTGCAATGTTAAAAACTCAGGCTAGCTCGCACGGGGACACAGTCGAATATGAGAGCGATGACTTTGTGCAGGCATGATTATTTGATAATGGCCTCTATTTACTTATTTTATGTTTCTAGAAAAGATCACAGTGATCTTTAGGGAAAACGATCAAAAATTACAAGATGATGTATCCTTTAAATTTCACTATTTCCAAGAAACTGTTTAAGAATTATTTATTTCCTTCCTTTTTCTTATTATTTTTTAACTTTCTTCTTCCCGATTGCTTTCTAAGCATTCTTCTCTTTGCTACAAAATCTCTATCTTCCCTGTTTGAGATAGATTATAGCTTCTAGGGTTTAAGTTGTAATGGATCATCTTAACTCCATGTCTATTGTCTATTGTTTCACCCTGAATGAAGGAGATGTACGTTTTATTGGGACATTCACCTTGATCTTAAAGTCTCATGCTTCAAGAGCTGTAACATATATCGAGGCCTGAACTATTTTGGATTATGATTTCCTAAACAACTACTAAGTATATAGGACTTAATTTCAAGGCTACCATAGTTTAAAAAGTTTATTACACCTCAAAATCTCTACTTGTAATCTAATAAAATTGTACCTTACTAAAATTAAAAAGGAAAATCCAGCAATATATGACCTTGGTTGGAACTTGGAAGTCTGCTAAAACTTGAACTAATCAAAACTGTATGAGATAGGGCACAGGATGGCCTCACTAGGTGGTGTTGAAGGGAGGGAGATTTGATGTCTGCTCCTAAAATTGAGCCTTAGGGGGAAGACTCCTTTTTTATCGTTGGTTTTTCTTAGAAGGTTAGTTTGCTTTCTATAATATATGCATAAGAAGCACGGAAACTTTCAAGAGAAAACCATATCTCTGTTGGATACTATCCTGTGTGGATACTAACATTCCTTGGACACCCCCAGATGTGTTCAATGCATTTGTGTCCTTTATTTGAAATCAGAATTTTTAGTTTTGGAGACATTGCCGACATTTGTTGGACTTATGCTAATCCGTTATGACTAAAAAGTGAATGTGAATAAGAACCAAAACAACCACACTTATGACTGAAAAAGCATCATCTAGTCCTTTCCATCCTGCTGCTTTAGTTTTGCAGATTGTGGTAGGTTATTAGTAGGTTGACAAGTTTGAATTTCTATGATGTATTTACTTTAAGCCTATATAACTCTCTGGAGGGCAAAAAATTGGACCAACTGAATCAGGTTTGATCTTGAAAAGCGCTTCACCATATAGTTTACTTAAATTGTGGTAAGGCTGTTTGAATTCCTCTTTAAAAAGAGGATATAAAGTTTAGTGGAACCTGGTTTCTTTGTCTAGGCAAATACACTTTAAGCGCGTTAGATTCGGATATTACAGAATATATTTGTTGATACAAACAGTTGCAGTGCATATTTTTATAAGTAATTTTTCTCTATTTATTTTTATTTTATTTTTACATGGTTTAGTTTACGTTTTTTTGGGGGGTAAGTTGGTTTAGTTTATGTTGCTTACAATTGCTTTGAAATTTTCTATTTTTGTAATTTTTAGGTAATTGGCTCAGGAATTGACAAGGATAGAATACCTGCCATTGATATAGCTTTGAATGATGGGGACAAGTGGATGTTTGCTGGCCATGAGGTGCTTATAATTGAAACTCCTGGTCATACTCAAGGTTGTTTTCGTTGCTCACCCATTAGATATTTATCTGGATGAAGTACTTGAGAACAGTTTTTATTTTGAATTTAGTAGATGAAAACATATCATATCATTTTTTTCTAAAATCATATTTTTTTATCATTATATCACCTTCACCTTGTTTTTTGTGACTAGCCACTGTTCAAACTTTATGTTTATAATGTGCAGCATGAAATATTCTAGGTCTAAGATCCTCTTTGCATAGAATTTTCATGTTCTTCAAATCATTTATTGCAGTGTTGAACATTTCTGTAGATTTATGGAATGCATCATAGGCGACTAGAAACGTCCACAAGTCATTTTTGTGATCATAACTTTATACACACTTATATAGCGAAAGGAAGATATGTGAGAGAAAAAAATTATTGGATTTTGGGAGGGTTGGATGAAGTGGTAGATTTCGAGTTGCACTAGGCAACTAGTGCATACTTTCCTAAAACAAGTAACTGTATTGTCAGACTCGTGCCTATGTTTTCTGTCAAGGCTGGATTTGTTGGACATCTGGGCAGTTTTTTTTTTTTGATAAGTAAGATTTCATTAAAGGCACCCAAGGAAAACAAAAGCCGCCCATGACAGTACTATAACTTAAAGCTATCCAAAATATCCAAAAGAATATCCATAGAGATACAATTCCACCCATTGACCCAAAAGAATAAAGAAGACAGTATATTGTGTTTGAGAGACCAAATAGGAGACTCCTCACCGTCAAGGATCTCCTATTTCTCTCGCGCCATAAGTTATCAAGCTTATACTTTGGCATAACTGAGTGGCGCATACTTGTCACAAAAAAAAAAAGAAAAAAGAACTGATTGTTGCACAAACTACCATTAATTAAGTTTAGTAAGATGATAACATCTGGTATAATTCAGGGAGATAGAAGGGAGCAAAAACAATAGTTGTCTAAACAGGCTCTCTCTCTCTCTCTATATATATATATATATATATATATAATATGTAATGTCTGTTAATTATTTTGGACATCATGTTGGTTGTGGTGTGGATTCACGCATCCTATGGATTATGTCACACCAACTCTTTTAAAGTACATGAGGTATCCATGTCAGACACATCACTCCGACATGGTTATGGAATATATATCCAACTCATTTGGTTAGACAAGCATCTAACAAGAATATCCAAGTATTCAGTTTTATTATTTAATTGTTGTAACGCTTGAAAGGCATTTGTTGAACACTATGTTAAATAAGAACAGTAATTTACTCTAGAAATAAATAAATAATGACCAAATTTTAAAAGTGTCCTTGTGGCTTCTTGTTTGGGGATTTCATACGTCCAACATTTACACATACCCACACCCCACATGCTTACCCAAGTCTTAGTAAAATAGCTGAAGGAGACCAAATGTTTAAGGGCAAATTACATTTACCTCCCCTCTAGTTTACTTAAACTCCAGAGACCTCACCTATGTTATAAAAAATGACAGAAACCTCCCAACATTTGTGTCCATATAACATTTTAGTCCTGTTAACGGTCAGTCAAGGTCAACGTGAATAAGTTCTGATGTCAGCCAAATATGTCATTATAATACCTATTTTGCCCTTAAAAAGTATGTAAAGACAATGGTACCCTCAGTAACTGCTCTAAAAAGACTAAAATAACCCCAGTTTGGCTCATTTGAAATTCCACATTTGTCCTCTCACCAAATTTTAATTTACTATTACATGCTTCTGTCTGATATACACTCTCTAAAACTCTTCTTCTCTCTAAACACGCACTTTTCTGAAAATAATCTATATATATATATTCGTAAGATAATAGCCTCATCGTCTATAATGTTCGGGACTGGTTTCGTTCGAATTTGGGTTTGAAACAGAGACTACAGTTGGAAAGGATTGTGAATTTTGGTTGTTTCGAACCCAAATTGTAAACTGTAGAATCAGCCAAAGATACATCGTCCTCGTCCATGGCGGAATCTTTGTGATGATCCAACGGTTCCCCCTAACCACTAACCCTAGAAATGTAGGGATCTGAAATGGGTTTTCTGGATCTTGGCTAAATGTGTTGAATTGGGCATATTTCCTTAAATTAGGAATGTTGTTAATTTGGAAGATGAGAAGATCTGGAAGAGAAGTGACAGAAAATCTCTTTTGCAGCAGAAGTGTGTATAGGATTTAGAAGAAATGAAAGGGTGTATAAACCAAGAAAGATCAATCAATCAACCTTCTACATCACTAATCCTTCTCTCAGTGTTAAATCCTTCATTTGACTCCATCATGTACCAAAAGTCCCTTAATTCACTTTTAATTTGTTGATTCAGTTAATTATGAGAGTATATGTAGATATTTAGCGAGAGATGAGTTTATTGCTTGGATTGGGTTTATATATAACTTATTGTATACACACACACACATGTATGTATAGTTATTGTGATTGTATACAAGAGCATAAACACTTACATGTATGAAGAGATCAAACGGATCTCTGATACTGATCAAACCGAGGGTGTATGTATAGGCATATATATGTGTGTGTAAGATTGGTTTTGTTGATCAAACCCATTCATATGCTTTTGTTTGGGTTTGCAAAAGAAGAATTTGACTGTTACTTGGTTGGATTTCTAAAGTGAGTTTATTATTATTTTTCATGCTTTAGTCACATCAAAAAAATACTAACAAATTAGGGTAAAAAATAGTTTTTTTTTTTACGAGGGTATAATAGTCTTTTGTTAACTCCGTTAATGCCGTAAGACAACATCTCACAGGAGGTCAGTGTCATTTTTGAAAAGATGAGGGAGGTCTCTGTAGTTTTCGTAAACTAGAGGGTAGGTAAATGTAATTTACCCACCATTTAAAAACTCTTCTTGTCCATAGTCTTTCCCCCTATGGACATAACATAAGTTCATTATATGTAACTTACCCTCTTAAGACATTTTTGGTTGGGGATTTTTTAGTTGTTCATAACGCTAACCATTTAAGTCAGAAGTTCTCTTTCATCCCTGGTGGTTGTCATCTTATTTTTGTCCATTGATGTGAATAACTATGCCCCTTTGGTATTTTTAGTGGCTTTGTCATAGAATTGTTAAAACATATATCAATGCATATTCCTTTTTATTTTATTGTTTGTACTTTGTTAGGGGATTTTATAGAAGTAGTTTATTATAATTATCTCATCATTATATATATTATGCATTGAAATTAGCTTAGAATTACAACAAAAGTAGTAGGATAACAAATATAATATAGGATTTATCATGTGTGTGATTTTTTAATGTTCTTGTCACGGAGTTGTGAACCTTTCAGTAACATGTGGTTTTATTTTTCATCTTCTTTTTATTTTTTATTTTTTTTATTTTTTAATCTTTTTTCTGTTTTATTTCAGATAATGTGATTCAATTTTTGTTTCTTGGGATAATTTGGTCTCTTAGAAAGTTTTGAAGGACTAGCTGTACAATTTAAAATAACAAGCAACGGGTGACGTAATTGTCAAAAAAATATATATATATGAGAATTTAAAAGAATTTTAGAACTAGTTTTATTATGGATTTTGCATAAATGAAATGTAGGGAAAAAAAAAAAAAAGATTATGCATAATGAGATTTTAAACTAACCAATTAACTTTGCAAGTAATGAAGTAATTAAGTTGGAAAAAAATTATTACTTTTGATTCACAAAGGACCTTGCACAATCCAAAATTCATCCCTTTAGATTTTAGTTTGGATTCGTGAAAGTTGGCACAAAAATTTTAGTGTTGATCTTAATTCCAAGCAGGTCATATTAGCTTCTATTTTCCGGGATCAAGCGCAATTTTTACAGGAGACACTTTGTTCAGCTTATCATGTGGCAAGCTTTTTGAAGGAACCACTGAGCAGGTAAATTTTTACTTTGGTGTGTTGTATGTTCTAGTTGGCTCTGAAAATTGGCTCTGAAAATTTTCTACTTCAAGCTTTAAACTGGTTGTATATCGTCTTTTGTGGTTATTTAAAAAAAAAAAATGTTGTAAATTGATTCATCCTTCTGCCCCATCTCTGCTGTGTACATGCTTTTGTGTTCTGAACTAAGAAGCATGGATACAGATACGGGACAAGGGTATGACACGACATGACATGGACACAACGACACGCAAATTGTAAAAAATTAGGATACGACATGGCGGCAACACGGCGAGTCAGCGACTAATAAATAGACCTCTTTACATATATGATCCTATATTTTAAGAGTAATATTATTTTTCATCAACCTAACAATGAAAAATTCACAAATTATAATAATTAATGAGCTAGAAAAATAATTAGTATATTGTCTAAAGAACTACACAATTGAATCTACTCAACAACAATAATATTAGTTGTTGGCTTGTAGGTTTCCTAGACTTTGTAGGATGGTTGAGGTGAAGCATGCGGTGGTGGCGGATTATTTTAGGTTAGAGAATGAGAGAGCTACTTGGGATTTGAGATTTCACAGAAATTTTAATGATTGGGAGTTGTTGGAGTTTACCGACTTAATGGGATTAATCTATAGCCATGTGGTGGAGGGGGAAGGAAGGGATGAGATGGTGTGGAAGGGGGATTCTAGTGGGGTGTTTAAGGTGAGGCTGTTTTATAAAAGTCTTACGAGTTTGATGAGCAATGGGTTTCCTTGGAAGGCTGTTTGGAGGACTTCATCTCCAATAAAGGTGGCTTTTTTCACGTGGACAGCGGTGGTTGGCAGCATTCTTACTTTGGATAATCTTAGAAAAAGACGCCAAATAACAATTATTGGTGTTGCATGTGTAAGAAGGCGGGTGAATCGGTGAATCATCTCTTGTTGCATTGTAGAGTGGCAGCGGATGTGTGGAGTCTGATGCTGAATGTTTTTGGGGTGGAATGGGTAGTGTCAAGTAATATGAGGAACATGTTAGAAGCTTGGAGAGGGAATAGAGTAGAGAGTCGGGTTAGGAAGGTGTGGAGGGTTGCACTTCTTTGTATTTGGTGGGGGTTGTGGCATGAGAGGAATATGAGATCTTTCGAAGGACAGGAATCGTCGGTGTGGGTTATCAAGGCGAACATTTTGCATTCTCTTTTTTCTTGGGTTAATGGGAAAAACTGCCCATCTGTAGATTGTTTTTTGGATTTTGTTGACAACTTACCGTTGTATTGACGCGTTTGCATTTTTTGGTTTGTAAGGTTTCGCTCCCCTATGAGCGTGTTTGTTTATACATCTTTACTTATCAAATAAAAAAATAGTTGTTGGGACAAAAAAAAAAAAAAAACTTGAAATATTATATGTTATGACCGCCATATTTTATTAAAAAATTTCTAAGAAGTCATCACTTTACACTTTAACCTATCTTTCTTTTTAAAACTTTCTTAAAACCCCCTAACGATACGGTACGCGTGTGGGACACATGTCCATCACGTGTCTGTGACGTGTCCACGGCAGCGTATCCAAAAAAAAATATATCCGAACACTTATTTTGACTGTCCATCATGTCTAGGGCCGTGTACGATGTGTGTCGGTGTCCAACACGGATTCTTTGGCCTGTCCATGCTTCCTAGGTTCTAAAAGGAAGGGAATGACTACCTTCCAAACAGTGATTGCTAAATCAAAGTTAATCTCTATGTTTCATTTCATATATAGACTTTGAAGGTTCCTCAGATGGTCAACAAACTCTTAACACCATGGTTATGCTCTGCAATAGTGTGTGAGACTATGTTACTTGGACTATTCTAAATGCATGAACTACCTGTGTGAGAAGTGTGATATCTATATGGTTGTACACAAAACTTTTTTTCTTAAGTTTAATTTGCTACATTTTTTGTTTAAAAAAGAGTGAACTGAACGCTTCTTGTCATTAAAATAAAAAAAAAATGAATTATATTTACTATTATTATTTGAATATTTAGACTTTATTTGTTTCGATATAAAATCTTTTCCAGAAAATATATTTTGCATTTTCCGGTATTTGGTTTCATACAAAGTTAGGAGAAACTTTTTACAAGTGAAATTATTTACGGTGTTTGCAAGTTTTCTTATGCATTCTCATTCACTGTTTTGGCAAAACCAACTGTGACATCAAGTCAAACCAACCAGTAAATACCACAATTATATTAAGGTTAACCTAATCTATTGAGTAGTTTTGAACTCTCTTCTTCAAAAATCCAATACTACCTCACTTGTTTTAACAATCCATCAACCCTGGTACTGGTGTCTCGAAACCACGGTATCCATCAGAGCGAAGTAGCACCATTGATCGACAACCTATGTAACTATGTTACATGGACTTTACACTATGCTACAAAAAGACGCTACGTATCCATCTATTCTTTTTGGAGTCTTGGTAGTGTTCTCCCCCCCCCCCCCCCCCCCCCCCCCCCCCCTCCTTTTTCTTTCGCATTACTGTAAAAGTTACTTCTGTCTTTCAGGAAACAGTGTCGTTTTGTAAAATTAACACTACACTATGCTCTTTACCGAGATATAATTATATGTAAATACTCAAATGACAACACCAGGGGAAGGGTTGAAGTTTTCTCGTCATAGTAACAACAGGCAATATTAAGCATGAGGGTAGTTATTTTGTCAATCAAAAAGAGAGAGAGAGAACAATATCAGGTCTAATAAATTTATTGCTTCTGCAGATGCTGTCTTCCATTAGAAAGATAATTTCATTGCCGGATGACACAAATATATACTGTGGTCACGAATATACTTTGGTAAGTTTTGTTTCCATCAGCATTTTCTGCTCCCTTTTTGATACCTGACACAATTGTCTTGAGCTGTCTTGAACTTCAAATTTTGTGAGAAACCTAAATATGCGAGACATGCTTTGACAGAGTAATTCAAAGTTTGCGCTGTCTATAGAACCAGGGAATGCAGCTCTGCAGACCTATGCTGCCCATGTAGCCCATCTTCGCGATAAAGGCTTCCCAACGGTAATTCCAGACTGACTTCCTTTTGTAATTGAATTCTAGTACTTTCTGAGCATTTAATTTTGAAAAATTAGCATTTTTATGTGACTACACATCAAGTACGAAAAGCCTTTAACAACTACAGTGGTAGTTTTTGTTTCTTAAACTTTATATCAGATTTATGTTCAACTGTCAACCCTGTGTCATAAGATTTTTTTATTTACTCTGTTGATGCATGGACTTGATATGTCATTAACATGTCTCACCTTTGTAGTCTTTGAGTAACATAGGCAATTACTATGTTTGATTCCGAAGTAGTGATGCTCTTAATTTATCAACTATCATTTACCAAAGTACTCTCGTCTCCGATGCAACCATGAACTTAATGGCATTAAGGCTCCGTTTATTTGAGCGTAAAATGTTTTCCTTATAAAATGTTTTCTATGTAACACTTTTTCATGTAGAATGTTTTCTTTATTCTTTATTTTCCTGCATTTGGCTAAGGTTTTGAAAATATTTTTCAAAAAATATTTTTGCTGTCTGACTTCTAAAAGTATTTTTGAATTAAAATTTAAATTTAAATTCTTATTTGAGTCATTGATTATTCAATTTTTCTCTTACTATCAATTGGTCCAATTATTTTTATACCAATAATAATTATTTGACAAGTAATATAAAAAAATAATCAATTGATTTTTGAAAAAATGATAAGGATACCCAAGCAAGTCTCTCTATCATCGAATGCAACAAGTGAGATTTTTTTTTTTTTTTTTTTTTTCTCCCCTTATACGTGTCACTTTTTAAGGTTTTAGAAAGTAATACTATAGGTTAATCACTAAGCCAATAATGATGACAAAAAAATATAATAATAAAAGCAAATTGAAGAAACCAAAAATAGGAAATTGTATGATTGTTGTTAAAGAAGAGATTGGCCTCATGCCTCTCGCCCCACAATAGGCATTGAGCATATTGACTCTTCTCTTAACAGTTATTTTGTTTCTGGTCACTATAACACATGTAAAAGGGCTCCTCTCGTTCTCTCTCTAAAAACTCTCTTTTTATTAAATGGCTCCTTTCATTATCTCTCTAGACGCTGTCTTTCTATCTCTAAACTCTCTCTCTAGACTACTTTTTAGCCACTATGTAACTCTTCCATGTACTTGATTGACGTTTTTTATGACATATGCTTTTGTTGAGGAGATTGAGAGTGAAATTGATAGGCTCAAAAAACGACTTTCGGAAAATTAATTGGTAAGTTGTTTTGGTTAAATTTTGGGAAATTATTTTCCTCTGTAAAAAATTTTCTTTGAATTTGGGACTACCAAACACCGGAAAACATAGAAAATATTTTTCAGAAAATGTTTTATGCTCAAACAAACAGAGCCTAACTGTCCCAAGAATTGGGGTTGTAGAGAAGTTGAATGAGCTTTTCAGCTTGGGTTGGACATACCTTATAGATATGTAACATGAGTTGCATGATGGCTATCTCAAAACTTACCCGGGTGGCTCAACTCTGGGTTGTTGAGTTGAACAAGTTTTCGGAGTGTGGCATTTGTTTGTTAACTTCTAATCAGACCTAGTCCATATGTCGGATGGGCTGAACTGAAAGCAATCCAAGCTGCACGACTCCATAGTAGTGTCCCATGGGTTGTTTCTGAATGACAAAGGTTACATTGTTTTCCAAGCTAATTTGGTTTGCTAGCATCGTTCTTTTATTTGTTCTTACAAATATGATTTACGTTTACCTTCACCATATGTGACTACTGTTTGTGGTGTCTTAGATTCCAACTACATTAAAGAAAGAAAAGACATGTAATCCATTCCTTCGCACATCAAGTATGGAGATCCGGCAATCATTAAAAATTCCAGCCACCGCAAATGATGCAGAAGCCTTGGGCGTCATCCGCAAAGCAAAGGATAATTTGTAGGAATTTTTACTATCCATTTCCATGTTGTGTATAGGAAGGAACCATCAATTTCTTAAATAAATCACCTGTTTTTTCCAATATATCTTTGGAGAAATCAAGTTCTTTTGCTTCTTTTTTTTTTTTTTTTTTGTTGTGTTCTCTTTCTTTGAAGGTAAGCTGAATATATTTGACAGTTGACACCAAACTAAGTACTAAATGCATTGTGATGAGCAATATTTGGTGATACTTGGGGACTTGGAGTCTCTACTAAAGTTGTAGTAGCTTATAAACTGTTATTAGTTGTACAATGGCCTGTTAAAATGCTTGGGACAAATAAAACTGTTATCAGGTGAGGGCTCAGGATATGAATGCCTCTGGTTTAACTCTGAATTGTGGGTATGCGATTTGTCATGAGTAGAAGATTAGGGTTATGTTAGTTTATTTCTTGTCAATCTAAAAATTAGAAAATATTCATGTTTTAATCCACCCCAAAAAAAATGCTATAAAAATAAAATAAAATAAAAATGCAAGTATGAATTTCAATGAAATATATTGATGTATATTCTAAGAAGCACGGACAGTTCTACTAAGGAGTAGTACTCGTGTCGGACATCGATACTCCTCAAGACACTCTTTGAATACGTGTCTATAAATAAAAATTAATTTTATTAATTCAGACACTTCGATGACACTTTTTGGACACTTTGTTAGCACTTCTTGAATATTTTTAATACAAGTCTACTAAATAATTTTGAAAATAAGAAGAATACAAAGTAGTGAAATAATGATATAAAAATTATTATAATAATGACATAATTTCATTCTCTAATTTATTTCATAGTAACTCTTAATATAGAAATTATAAATGAATTAAAGTTTTATAATATGTATAAAAATAAAAATTTATGTTTATAAGTAGTAATGGTTATGTCGTATTTGTGTCTTACATTTTTAAAATTTGACGTGTTGAGTATCTGTGTTGTATCGTGTCCGAATTCTTTGCCCGTACTCCATAGCGTGTATTGATCATAATTTTAGAAAATTGAGTTGGAAAAGTTGCTTTTGAATTTTTTTTTTCTTTTAAGGAAAAAAGAAGAAGGCAGATTTGAAAATAAACTCTTTTAGCCTATTGGACTGCAAGCTGAGTTACACCAAAAGAGTTTCCTTCTATTAAACTTAATAAATATATATATATATATATATATATATATATATATATAACCTTGTATCAGGAAAGATATGGAGTGGCTATTAAGCATTTGTTGTGAGAAGTTCAACAACTTTGTTTTTTTATGGTTGGAAAGTTCTATGGTTGATGGAATGGGTTCAACAAATAAAGTTACTTTTCATATATGATCTGTCTCTGTCCTCACTGTCATCTCATATCACTGTCCATTTAAGTTCAAAGGCACACTTCACAAGTCCAATTTTGTATGCTTGCCCACAATTACATAATTGACCTCCCTCCTTTACTTATTCTCAACCATTAATTAGATTTTCTTGAGGACTCTTTTGTCAAATAGATCACAATTTAACACTTTTTAATGGGGTCGTTTTCTTTTACTGATTGAGACCCTCGTAATGTACTGATATCATCCAGATCAGGTTCTTTCTTCTTGTACTGGAGAACTTTTTACATGAGATACGCGCCGACTAAATGATTCCGACTAAATATAAATGGACGCCAAAATAAATGTGTCAGTTTTATTGTACAATAATATTTTTTGTATTAACCAAATAAATATAGCAAGAAACCTATTGTATATGCTTTGCTCCAAATGTCTTGGATAATTAAAAAATATTCAGAAAATATGTTTTACTGTTTGTTTCAATAGTAAAAATGCACCAATTTTCTTATTTTTTTTTTTTAGATTATAGGAGCCAGATACGAATTCACTCTCTTTAAAGAGCAAAACAACTACGTCGATCTATTAAGAATTTCAAATTATCTATTTTTTCGTATTTTCAAAGTAAAATTTTACCAATTATGTTTTTTTTTTTTTTTTTTTGCCCTTTTGAACAATTAGGGAATTCTTATGTTGTTTGGGAGAAGAATTAATCCACCCAACGGATTACACTCAATTAGTAATGTTTTGAATAAGGATTTTTTTTTTTTTCGATGCATATGGTCAGGGCCAGAAATTAAATTCAAGGGCATAGTGTAAAAATAATAATAATAATAATCATGACAATAAATATAGATTTTATAAATTAAGACACAAAGAAAAAAATTACTCAAAATAATATGTCTAATATGTCAATCAATGAGTAATTTAAGAAAGATAAATAGTTAACAAAAAATTTAAAAAGGAAAGAAAAATGAAGAATTTTGAAAGGAAAAAAAATTGGAGTTTAATTCAAAAAGGAAAATTTGACTCTTTTTAAAGGAAATTAAACAAATTTAAAGAGTAATAAAGAAGAGGAATACAAAATTTAAGAGATAATTTTAGAAAATAAAACTTTTAGGGGACATTATATGAAAATTTTCATATACACGTTTAAATATATATAAATTTAGTATATATATTATTATAGTAAATAGGGCCAGGGCACGTGCCATTGGCATACATTGGCTCTGTCCTTGCATATGGGATGAAAAGATTGTGTTATGATAGTAATTTTTTTTGAAAAAAATGAGAGTTCACATCTCTTCTTATGCTAGAGTTCTTCGAAGAGCAATACTAAATGACTTAATAAAACCATGCAAGTGTCATATTGTTCGAGTAATTGAGTTGCTCCTCATATCTGGAAACCCATATTTGAACTTTGTACCCTCTTTCTCTCATATGTGATAGTTAATCGGACAAATAATAATAATAATAAAATAAAATAAAATAAAATAATCTAAGGGGAGGGTTAATTTCAACATTCTTATTCTTTTGATAAATATACATTATATATATGTATATATATATTGGACTGTGCTTTTCAGGCCGACATCGACTAAAACGGATAAAGAAGAGTACATTTGAGACAACAATGACCGACATCGACTTGAGCCGATAGAGAGAAGTCGCATGCGAGGCCCACAAACAATCGGCTCGACATCGAAAGGATTTGGCAATACAAGATAATGGACCATTTATCTGATGATCTGACTGATTCTTGGGTCCCAACCCCATTGGTAAAGTAGACCATTAAGACGTTTTGACTTCGGCGCCAAATATTCCTCCATTTAATCAAAACTCAATCGCATTTTCTCGCCTCCCAAACAAACGAGACTCTACTTGCACAACACAACCGCTCCCTCTCTCCCTCCCTCTCTCTAAAAACTGATCTTTCTCTCTCTTGATCTCTACAAAAATGGTGATAGGTGATAATCTCAGAACCTGCGTGGTCTTAGGAGGCCGAGGCTTCGTTGGAAGAACACTCGTTCTTAGACTCTTGAAACTCGGCAATTGGATCGTCCGAATCGCCGATTCCGCTCAGTCTCTCCAACTCGATCCCTCTGAGCACAATTCCATTCTCTCCGAAGCCCTCGCTACTGATCGCGCTTCCTATTTCCATGTCGATGTTCGCAATAAACCTCAAATCATCAAAGGTGTATATATATATATATATATATTTATAGTTATTGTCAATTTGTTCTATTTGTGATCGTTGTTATATGTTGAAGTTTCGACTGAGTTTGGGTTCTGTTTGGTTGGTGAGAAAAATACAAGAAAGGAAGTTAATGAGTTTTTCTTTATGAAGGACGCAAGAAAGTTGAATGGACCTTATTACAAACTGTTGGGGTATATTATAAGTATGAAAACAATTGAATACATATAACTATTGTATTTTCTTGTTTGTTCATTCGTTTTCTGGGCGTTTAGATAGAGGATCAGGGATTTGTAAATTCAGTTTGTTGGTAAATTTATTTATCTTCTTGAAACTATTCTTGAACTTTGAATGTAGAACTATCTCTGTCTCACTTATGGGGGTGAAGTTATGAGTGGTATGGTTAATTAGTCTCAAGTGCTTTCTGTTTGTGAATTTTACCCCTTCAATTTAACATATTTGGGCCACTCACCCTCTTTTGATTGCTGATAGATATTTGTAAAATTAAAGGAATTTAATTTTAAAATATTATTTGTTTCAACTGGCACAATGAACAACCTACCTCAACAATGCCTGATGCTTTTATAGGGTAGTTGAGTGGCTTATTTACTTCGATGAAAACTGATTTTTTATGATTTTGTTTCATTTACTTCTACTTCAAGATATATCAACTTCTGTTTTTTTTTTTTTCCCTACCATTTCCTCTCTTCCAAATGGAGTACTAACTAATTTAAGCAACAACTGCAGTAATATTTTATTATTTTTACCCCATTTTCATGATGATAAAAAAACCACTCCTTCCTTTTTTATTCAGTGTCCATGCATTTGGTGGTGGATCTATTTCTTTAAATGTGATGTGAAAGACAAGACTTTAGGTCATTAAAATCACACAAATGTAAGTAGATGTAATTATAAATGGCGTAGTTGGTTTGATGTTGCTTTCAAAATGTATAACATTGACTATTGTCTTACATTTTAGTCCTTCCTTAACCTTTGTTATGTGCTGTAATAAAAAAATTTGGGCTGAGAAACTAACTGCATGCATAATATTTTTCCTTTGCAGCTATTGAGGGTTCATCTGTTGTATTTTATATGGAGGCTACTAATTCATACACAAATGATTTCTATTTTTGCTACACGATCATTGTTCAAGGTAAATTCCCTTTCAGTTAAGAAAGTTAGCTTTACTAGAAGATTTTATTTGGCGCAGGGACCATTCATGGGAGATTAATATTGCTTCAATTGTGATTCTATTCAGGTGCAAAAAATGTTGTCAATGTTTGCAGAGAGTGCAAAGTTAAACGGCTAATATACAACAGTTCTACTGATGTGGTTTTTGACGGTTCGCATGATATACAGAATGGAGAGGAGTCCTTGCCATATCCTCGGAAAGTGCGTGTCTTATTTAGAGAGCTCCTCTTTCATGTGGTTATGAACATGTTTTGCTCTTTTCCTCACTAAGACTCCTTTATTCTGCTGATTTGTGTACACTAATACAGTTTGATGACATGCTGAGTGACCTCAAGGCCCAAGCAGAGGCACTGATCCTGTTTGCTAACGATATTAATGGCCTTTTAACATGTGCCCTTCGTCCTAGCAATGTCTTTGGACCTGGAGATACACAACTTGTACCATTTTTAGTGAATAAAGCAAAATCTAGTTGGGCAAAGGTTTGTATGCTATTTTTGTACTTCATTTTGATATGTGGCTTCATTTACTTCAACTGCAGTAATTTTGAATGCGCTAATTAGTTATAGGATGTGACAGTTACATGTTAAATTTTCATTGAATATAAGCTTTTATAGATGCCATTTGCTTATTTGTTTGTTTGTTTGTTTTAGATCTTCTTGCCCCTATTTAATATTCAATTCTTGTACGTATAGTCTATCTTGCATATGATGACTATCTTACCCAAAATAAAGGAAACAAAATGAGAAAAGCATTTTTAATTGAGAGTTTAGCTGCTACACAACTGAAATTTGCAATCATCCTTGGAACTGCTGCTGATTGCTGTTTGTTTATTCACATAGATTTTCTCAAATCATATATTGGAGTACATAGGACTTTCTTACTTAAGTCTCTTTGAATAAGTAATATGGTTTCTCATTTCAGTTTATTATAGGAAGTGGGGAAAACATGTCTGAGTTCACCTATGTGGAGAATGTTGCCCATGCCCATATCTGTGCAGAAGAAGCTCTATGCTCTCGAATGGTTTCTGTGTCCGGAAAGGTACTTACCGATACCGAACTCTTTTGGGTATCATTGATTATTTTTAAATATCTGTTATGATCTATTCATAAAAAGGATATTCTATCCTATTCATATTGTAGGCTTTTTTCATCACAAATCTTGAGCCAGTGAAGTTCTGGGATTTTGTCTCTCTCATTCTGGAAGGCTTGGGGTATCAGAGGTAAAGAAGACATCTAAAATTTTAATGTGAGAATTTTCGGTTTCAAACTGTTAGTTCATTTTATGGAAATTCATTCACGGATAGTTCGCATTCTTGATGATGTGATTGTGAAATATTTTACCAGCTGGCCCGCTTAATTTTCACTCTATGTTGACTGGAGTTAGTAAACCCTTTACAATGAAAGTTGAACCCCAGATTCCCCAATGCACTAAAAGTTGCTAAGGGATCCAATATTAGTGCCTTAACTTATTTCCATGAGAAGTTACATGATAACTGAGAACTTAGCACGCTGAGTTAATGCCATTGCCAATTATGTTAGTGATTGGCACTGCATCGCTAACTATTTTGGTGATTAACGGAAAATGTCATGGTGGCAAACTTTATTATTATTTTACCTTTATCTTACTCTTTTAGAAGGAGAGGAGCAAATACCAATGGGACCTTCCTTATTACTTTTTCATGATGAAGTAAGGGCAAACCTGTGTAGATATCTTTTTTAATGCTTGTACTGGATTATGTCATACTGCTCCCTGAAATTGTTTTTCCACTCTTGATTGCAGACCCATGATCAAACTTCCTGCATGGATAGTCTGGTATATTGTTTTGATTGCCAAATGGATGTATGCTAAGATGGAGTACAGATTACATGACAATTCTATGTCAGTTCATGGAATTTTTCAATTAGCTATATGCACTAGAACTTTTAACTGCGCTGCTGCTAAAAAACATATGGGATACTCACCAGTTGTCTCCTTGGAAGTAAGTTTCTTAGCTTTCCTATTTTTGTCCGTGTCTTTGTCATTTATAAGCTTTCATCTTCCATTGTTTTTTCCTACAACATTTTTCTTCCCATAAGAATGCTCTTCCTTTAGCATATAGATATAGTTTGAGAAGTCTACGGGGAATTTTTTCTACCTGAAAAATTGAACTGAATTCTTTTCCAATGATTTTTGGAAAAATAGAAATAGCTTGTATTATCTAATTTCTTGTAAGTTGCTACTAATTATTTCTAGCTTTGTATTTTCTCTTGATATCGGTAAAAGATCACTTTTCTGGATTTTGTTTTGTTAAACTCTTTCCATACTATTTGATGTCCAACCAAGCAGCTCCTCTTATACAATGTAGTAAAAATAAGCAAGGACACTTTGAAGAAGAAGCTGTGTCCATTTTGGATACTTCTCTGCACCAACACTTCTCAAGCATTCCCATACATGTGTATGAAGCATTTTAAATTTGTCCACATTTTAAGAGATAGATTATTAATTTCAAAAACATTTTAAATGAGGGAAGACCTTGAAGCAACGGTAAGGTTGCTCCATTGTGACATAGAGGCCACGGGTTCAAAATGGAAAACAGTATCTCCACATGCGGAGGTAAGGCTGCATACATTTGACCTTTCCTAGACCCGCAATGGCGGGAGCCTCATGCACTGAACTAGCCCTTATTGTTGACACTTCTTAAACACGTGTGAAAATGTGATCACTGAACTTAGAACATAGGTGCCTCTGGTAACTGCTTTTGTTTTCCGTTTTATGATGCCAAAATGAAAAAAAAAAAAATGAAGGAGAAACAGGAGCATAAAACACATTCGGTAACTGCACTTCTGCTTTATATAAGTTAAAAGCACCGTTGTGGAATTTGGGCAGCATCCAAACGATGCTGCCAAAATTCTGTGCTGCTGTTATTGGGGCCAATTTAAAAAAACGGGATCTCTGTTGTTTAAGACAGACCCAAATAGCAAACAAATATATCTCTCTCTCACTCATCTATCTCAACGAAATGGGATCTCTCAGTACTCTCACAGGTGTGTATTCATCTCTTTCACTCCTCTCTCACTCTCAGTCATCCCTCTCAACCTTAGATCTTGTTTCATCTCTCTCAACCTTAGATCTTGTTTCATCTCTCTCAACCTTAGATCTTTTGCGAAGCCTTGTTACACCATCAGTCTGTTCACTGCGACGCTGACGGATCTCTACATCTTGCTACCAATAGTCTCAAGAAATCACTACTGACAATCTCAACCTTTAGTTTTCGAGCATCTTTCCATTTCTGGGTTGATTTTTCTTTTGTCTGTTATATAAATTTATATATTTTCAATTTCTTTGCTTCGCTAACCAATGAGATTGTGACCGTGTGATTTAAACTAAGTTTTTGGAATTTTTTCTTCTGCCATACTTATCTGTTAAATCAATTCCAGTGAATATTATTTAAATGGTGCTATTGTTATGCTTTGTTTGAAGTTTGACACTTGTACATGCAGGAGATATTGGTTTCTATTATAGATTTTGAATGGGTTTTGGTTGGGGTGGCAATGCTTGGTAAGACACGGAATTAGTGGGTCTAGATTTGGCTTGATCGTGTTCGGGTTGTAATTATGATTGTTGACCCAAATTGACATGTTATTTAAACATGCTGTGTTCGTGTTTCACCTGCCAACCCGTTTGAGCCTCGCTCTTAACTTTTATCACGATTTAGTCTAAAATTCATCCATGCAATATAACTTTTAACTCTTATTTTGTTTGTTAATCATAATATTTTATAAAGAAATGAAACAATATATATAACATAAAAAATTATTATTTAAATTTATCTATGGACACATATATATTGATTTTAATACATATGTGCATTTATAAAAATATATATTGCCTTGTCATTGCGTATTCATATCCTATTTTTTAAGAATTTGTTGTATCGTTTAGTATTTTGTCCTTTTGCCGTGTTTGAATCCATGCTTCTTAGCTTGGCAACATCTCTTTAGCCATATAGCTCCTACGGTGCAGTCGCTATGGCCAGTTTTCCTCTGCACTCCCATATACGTAGAAATTGGGGTCCTACTTTATTGAACAAGTATTAGAAGAAAAGAAAGGACAGTGGTACGCAGGGATCTCCGTCATTGCTATTCCTTCTCTGTATTGAGGTTGCTTCAGTCTACACCCTGACCTAACATCATGGGATCTCCATTATTTTACAAGCGATAACCTCCATCTCCATAAACATACCTATATACATGCAGGTCCTACACTTAACAAGAATAGCAACTGTAATAGCCTCCTTCAAAATAGCATTCAGCAAAGCCGTAAGTCTTAAAATTGAATCCATCCTATCATTCATTATTATAAAAGTGATGTAGCCCTTCGGGCTCTTTGTGCCATGGATGTAGGCCCTAGTGGCTGAATCATGTAATATTTGTGTTTTCTACTCGTTTCATTTCTCTCTTCACTTCTATTTTATTATTTACAAAATGGTATCAGAGCCTAATTTCTCTTCCTAGGTTTGGACCACTATTTTGGGGTATTCCCTTGAAATGATGTTAAGGGTTTCTCAGTGCTAGTTGTGACTTGTTTGGGTTGCCGGCGTATTCGGTAGCATTGTTCTTTGCTTTTGCCATGTCTCCAGCAGTTTTTGTTGACTTGTTTGGGCTGCTGGTGTGTTTGGTAGATCGTCTTCATCTTTGCAGTGTCTCCGACAGTTTTATTGACTTGTTTGGACTGCCAGTATGTTTGGTAGCATTGTTCTTTGCCTTTGCCATGTCTCTGGCAGTTTTTGTTGACTTGTTTGGGCTGCCGATGTGTTCGGTAGCATTGTTCTTCGCCATCTCTCTTCTCTCTTCATCATTCGCACTTGTCATTTGTTGACCATTCATGCTCCGACTTGAGGGAGATTATTGAAGATTTGATGGAGGAATCAGTGGAGGAAAATCCTTCCACGTTGTTTCCTATTGAAGATTTACTGTTACTAGAGGAATCAGTGGAGAAAAATCTTCCTTGTTTCCTATTTTCTCTCTTTCCATTCTTATCATTTTTTCTCTTATATAGAGGAGCTTTTACTATTGTATTGTGTATGAAAAAGAGAGTATTATAAGAGTGATGTAGACATTTGGGCTCTTTGTGCTGTAGATGTAGGCTAGTAGCTAAACCACGTAATATTTGTGTTCTACTCACTTCATTTCTCTCTTCACATATATTTTATTCTTACGACATTCATTTAATCTAAACTCTAAGGTATTCATGGTGCCTTTATAGTCTCGAGATCAGAACAACTATGTGAAACAATAGGATCCTCTAAGCCTTGGAGACCAAGCTGATGGAAACTTAAAATAATGCTGTAGAAGATTAGATTTGTGCTGGGCTTTAGGTATAGAAAATTTCTGGAGTTAGGTTCTGAAAAGGTGGATATAAAATTTGTTGATGAAAAGTGGTTAATATTGGTTTTGATTGCGTAGTGATAGGTGACTGCCACTGGAAATTCATGGAAAGTATGTTGGAAGCCCTAGACAGCAAGTATTTGATACTCCAGTATAAACTATAAAGTAAAGGCCAACATGTAAGAGAATGGGTCGAGATTTATTCAGACATTTGGTACATGTAGGTATCAGGGCTAAAAGGGGCTATAAAGAGTAACTGAACTATAGCAACTAAGAACAGAAACAGTGAAGAAAGGATAATTTAGGAATCTTTCCTAGAATCTCTATGCTCACAATAGTTAAGTTACAGATACAAACACAATCCTATATTTGTATGATTCTATTCTATTGAAGGGAAATAATACAAGCTGTAGCCTGCTATGGTTTTCCTACTGAGTTCTAGACATACTAAGGTCTCTTGAAGATCCAAAGTTTATCTCAATGAAACAATAAAACAAGTGTGTACAGTATTGATGATTAACTTGACAGATCTGGAAAATGCAATCTTTAACTATATTCTGCTTTTTTTCTGCATTTGTTGCTGATTTACAGGAAGGGGTGAAGTTAACTACTGAGTCATTCTCACATTTAGCTGAAGACCCATATAGTAAGAGATGCATTGATTCTGATGAAGAATCAAAAGTGGAAAAGCTGCTAGGCAGTGGGAAAGGTTGGAAACTTATTTCATTATATGATGCCTTATTTTATTTTATTTTATAAGTTATATGATGCCTTATTTTGAGCTCTGCAGTGATAGCAATTTTACATTTTGTGACTGAAGTTTGTAGTTTGAACACTTCAAATGTGAAGAAATGTACTTGGGTGGAAGCTTTAATTACTTGGGCTGTTTGGTAGATTAATCGTAAACCCTGTCAAACCATGTTGGCTATACATATGAATCCGTTGGTTTTTGTCCTGGGCTTAGTTTTTTCCTTTGAATTAAATGTCCTTGATATGGGCTTACTGACAATAGACACGAGAAAGCACAATGACATGACCAGCACTGTCTTAGCTATTCATATCCCTGGGCTGTGGTTTGGTTTAGTCCAAATTCGATTGAATTTGTTAAAATCATCTGCTCACTGATGCATTAAATCCTATCACAATATATTAGCAAATAAAGGTTGTTTTTAATTTCATTTATCTGTCTCCTGAAACTAGGGTGAATATTTGTTTCTTGCAATTTTTGTTCCTGATAGCCACATGATCAATTTACCACAGTTAAAGACTTTAGTAAACATTACATCCATCAACTCCCACATTCAGATCAAGTAAATTACGCCAACAGATGATTATTGACAGCCACTTCTTTACAGTTTCTTGAACAATTCAACACAATCAGAATTTGTCTAGGTGATGGCATGATACTTTCTAAGAACATGCATTCAGATAGTCTTTTGCATTATAAAATGATAATACGTTATTTACTGGTAAAAAATGTTTATACATTCTTTTTTACTATAATATTGACCTTCAGTTATGTTAGTGCAGTTGCAGAAATTTTACTCTGGAGAGATGAGAAGAAAACATTTACATATTTTCTTGTCCTGGTTCTGCTGTTTTATTGGTTTTTCCTCTGCGGAAGAACTTTTGTCTCGTCTGCAGCTAAGCTTCTGCTGCTTTTTGCAATTTTCCTTTACGGATATGGTATTCTTCCTTCGAATGTGTAAGTATTGACAAATAACAAATATCTTTGTTGGGTAACTTTGTTTAGTCTTGAGAACACATATTTCTATGCCTGTTGGGTTTCGTGACATCATTTGACATCACTGCATCTTGTAGCAGATAATTCTTTTTTCCCAGCTTTCAGTATGCTTGCTTGATTTCTCTTGGACTTGGACAAATTCTTTTGCTTAATGCCCGTCTTATTTTTTGTGTATTTGTTTTTCTTTTTTATTGGGTGATGGAAAACCTACTACTTATTAAGGTTGCTCATAATTATTTGAATGTTGTAGGTTATGAACTCTTTATTCCTTGTTTTATTACTTTTTATGTGAGCTTCATAATATACTTAGCAGTTAGAATTTGACCTGTTGAATGACCCATATTATGGAGTTGATTGTCTATAACCTAAGCAAGCCTTGATATAGCATTGACACTTGTGCGTAAATGATTCTATCACTGCGCTTTTTCAAGCTTAATTTGGTTGACCTCTTAAGTTCTGCATGCTTGTTTAGTATTACCTGTTCGGTCCAAAAACTGTTTCAGGTTTATTGACTATGATACCTTTGCAACAGGTTTGGCTTCACAATTCCGAGGATATCCTTATCCTGTTTTCAGATCTCAGAAGTAGATATGAGAAATTCAATTACAAGCATAGCATATATGTGGAACAGTGTGATTCATGTAACAAGGTCATTGGCTCAAGGAGAGGATTGGAATATTTTTTTAAAGGTTTGCAGCTACTGAAATAGTGAAATTTTTGCTTGGTTCTGGATAAAATTGTTTGATTTGTGTTGCAATTAAAATTTGTATGCTTACTATTTTATTTATTTTATTTCATTTGAAAGTAAATCACAAGATCGAGTTCCCTCCATCCGAACGTAAACAGATGTCATACCACTTTGCTATGAGTTATTGCATCATTGACATTCTTTTAATTTGCAAATATAAGTTCAGGGTGTCCGCTCACCGTATACAAGTAGACACCTGTTCAAAATGATCTTCGTTTAACAATTGAATTCTGATATTGCAACTGTTTGATTACAGAGCTTTTGAACAAGGATTTCTCATGAGTAGGCGACATTTTTGATGCTATGCTTAAACCTCATTTCTTGTCTTCCACCTCTTTGTGGTACTTGATGAAATTATCTAAACCATCTTGATGTCCATAAATGCAGAAATTTTGCTTGCATTTTTGCTTAAAAAGTTTGGCGTGGTGCAGTTATTATTGTTTGGTTAGCAAGTGAAAAAATGTCAGTTTGCTTTGTGTAAATTAATGTTTAAAATTAGGTCTGTCTCTAGTCTATCCGTCCAATCACCCATATAGGCAGAATCAACACCGGGTAATGACATATTTTTACTAGAAAAATCTGAAGTGGTGTTAATTATTCTTTGCATTTTAAGGTAGGGGCACAATATTGCAATCTTTTTGCCAACTATTTAGACAGAATTTGAAATATATTTTCTGATAGGGGTGAACCATTTGCTTGGCTGATGGATAATTGATTCCTCAGCTGACGATACTGCTTTTGCAGCTGAAATAGAAGCGTGTCTGAGATGTTTGAGATCTTGTAGAAATGTTCTGCATTTCTGATGGATATTCTATTGTTAGATTTCCCAACCCCTCTAGATAGTGGACGACTCTCATTTAATGAGGATCAATCACTAACCCAGCTCCTATAGGAAATGGAGGACCCTCATTAAATGAAGGTCAATCACAATAAATGCAGGCCTCTTGTCAATCTGACATGCCGCCCTTGAGCCACGAGACTGTCAGACCTAATGCCCTGAACCCCTCCCAATCAGTCTCCTTCGCTCTTCCTTTTAGCTATAGTTGTGACAATTGCCCAGAGGTCCTTGCCCTTTGCCAAAGTAGCATAGAAGGAGCAGTTGATGTTCCTTTAAAGGGATTCACCAATCCCAGAGAGCTGATATAAGACCCCCAGAGAGAGAAAGCTGAGAGAAAAAGAACAGTAAGTCCAGCCTGAAACCTCATAACCTCGTAACCTCGACAAGTGATCATTTATAGTTCCTTGGCCTGTGGTGACAGCTCAGGTGTCCACCAGGTCCTACACTCACTGTGGGCCCACTGCACAAACATGACTCCTCGTTACGCTGAACCCCATACAAACACAGTGATTACAAGCAACAGCCTCGGGGAATATGATAATATTAATAGTGTCATGAACCATCATCCTTCTGGTACATTTCTAGGGACCAGGACATGCACTATGGATTGTTGCATGTCTAGTCAAGATTTCAAGACAGTATTGGTTTAACCTACTTTAAATTCAGCTAACTCGTATTAGCAGTTTCTTTTTAACTTAAAGTTTAATTGGAGGTATTGTCTGAAATCTGAATCGTTGACCCTTCTGTTGACATGTGTTTCAAATGCATTGATGTCTATGTTTATTTATATTTAGTTTCATAAATTCTTTAAATAACATAGTTGTTTAATCACAATTACCATATATATATATATATATCTGAGCTAGTATTAGAGCGAATTATTTGCTTGGACTCTCTGTCTGTGCTACTCCTGGTGTTAGCACAAAGTCACAGATATCAAAGGAAAGAAAGTTCTACTTGAATGCGGAATCAAAGATTTGCATTTCTAATAGTTTCTCAACCAATGCAGGTAGCGCTTTCTCTCTATTTCCTCAATTTGATGCTGTCGCAATACTTGACAGTTGCAATTGGTGCAGGTATGAAATACTGGTTTCCATTCAAGATATGTATTACATTATTCTTATTGTTGTTATTATAACTATTATTTGACTTTATTTGAAATAAATGCAGCGTTGGTCCTTGCATTCACTTCATTTTTTGTTTACGAGCAATATGAGGTGGAAATTGATGCAATTACGAAGGTCCTGTTCAACAGCACAAGGGAAATCATGGGATTATTGATGAGGAATCTTCCCACAAACATGACTTCATTTCTCCATAGCTATGGAACCTTGCATGAAAGGCAAAGGCCTGCTATGGCAAAGCATTTTGGATAAAAGGCCAAGTGAGTCAACACACCGCTTTTTTCTGTTCAATTTTCCACTGTAGATATTCAATTTGCTAACTGAACCAGTCGCTGTACAAGCTATGTAGTTGAGGCAATCTAGTAATAGTACAAGTTTCTTGCTTTTCTACTATCCTCCAATGCTGTATGATATCTTTTAATGTCATGGAACTGAAGTTAAATTCCCATTATTCACCAAATTGTTCTTTTCTCAGAAATGTATTATATCTTAGTGAGGAGGTTATGCTACCTATTGGATTAGGACTGATCGATCCAGAAAACTAGAGATGGTTGGGGGTTCAATGGCCAATTTTGTCCACGGGGAAAATTGAAAGCATGTGTGAATCTTTTTTGCAGAATGAGCCGGTCATTTCATTATTTGTTCTAATGTATTATATGGCTTCCATCAAGAAATAGACATCTGAAGTACGACATCAGGCATACAGGGACTACTTTTATGTTTCTGTTACGAGTATATAACATTGTATAGTTTTGCGTTCGTTTCGAAGTTCTGAATTTTGTTGAGGGATGAAAAGAATTTCCCATCTTTGAATTGGTTTATTCTGCAGCTGCAAAGGTACCATGAAACTAAAACGAGATGGTTTGATCTCTTGTCAATGAATCAAATTTTCTGCCATATCTCTTGTTTAATTGGTACCCACTTGGCGAAGCTTCGGTTTGCAGAAAAGTGATTATCGATGAAAGATTTGTTGAAAATGTGTTATTGATGAGTTGTGAAACGGTTTGGTTGTAAAAAGTGCTGTTTAACTTGCCGCTTGGTTATTAGCTGCAAAAGTTCTGTTTGATGCTGATACTAATATACTACGATTTCCTAAGTGATTGAACATATATTTTATTTGCCAAAAAAAAAAAAAAAAACATATATTTATATTAACGAGCCTTTTACACATTGAATGCTTTTATCAGAATAGAAAAACGAATCATGAAAAGTTGATCATTGACATCAAAGGGTGCTAAATGATCTAATGTAAAGAATAAGCCAGTTTGAGTTTGTAGCACTGTAAGGGTCACAGAAAAAGGATTCTGGCGCTGGTTCGGCCTGAATACTCGACAAATGGGAATGGGTCCCACTACTAATGTAAGTGTCTCTCACAATGGTCCCCAAAATTCTTACCATTTACTTTGAGTGTAGAGGAGATATTACTATGAAGACCTTGCTAGAGTTAATAGATTACAAAATACAAAATTTGTATTGATATGGACGTGTGAAATTGTTGCGAGGATTTATTAATATAATCAAAATAAAACTTGTATTGATTAATGGAAGATCAGTTGTATTTATTTGATAATTAATATAATACATAAATCATAATTAATTTATTAAAATATTACTAATATAATGACGCATCTTCTCTTATTGGAGACCTTAAAGGACCACCTAAATTAATTATAATGGATGACAAAGAAATACGTAACTAATATAATGAGATGTGAGGCTCTTGTCTTATTGGAGGTCCGATCGCCTTAATGGCTTTATAGTTGAATATATTGAGAGAGTAGATATTGTGCCATATATACCAAGTAATTTAGCATACCGACCAATGACCATGCATCATTTCAAAAAAATGTTTGTCCACTTACTTGTAAAATTATTCATAATGAAATAATATGTTATATTTAATTTAACTGGTATACTTATGATTTGGTATGCGGTATGTTTAGTGCACCAATAGACGTGGGGTTGTAGGGCCTTAAACAGATTGCCCTTGAACAGATTGCCTTAATTGCTTTATGAATGATTAGATTGCTCCTTAATTGCACGTGACACGACATGTTTCAAAAATATATATTTATGTGACCTATTTTTCTCATATATTTATGTGACCTATTTTTCTCATTGGATGGCAATGTTATATTTGGGACCTGAGGTATCCAACTCCTATTCTTAGTGATGGCAACGGGGCTGGTTTTGGACGGGTGTACTCTCTCTCGTCCAAAATTGACTAAACGGAAACCTTTTCACCCCATTTTCAGCCCGTTTAAAATTTTCACCCCTCGTTTAGCCCCAAAATTATTCTTCCTTTTTAATTTTTTTGCCTCTCAAATACATTCATATAACTATTAAAAATTCATTAAAAAGGCCCAACAATATTCTAACATAAAATTTAACATTACAAATACTGAATTATAATATGAGACCTATGGTTTCTAATGTTATGTATATATACTAATAAAATAAGGATAATTTAGTAATTTACCTACTTAAACGAGCAAGGCGACATTTCCTGTACCCGACCCGAACACGCACAGAGTTTTATTATGAAGAAGTAAGAACCATCTTCGCCCAAATATAAACTAAACAATCTCCCAAAATTGCCATCAGAGACTCAAAATGGACCCCAGGAAAATTACCATACCTACCTATTTTCAAGGAAAAATCACATGTAATATTTAAACTTGTTAAATATTTATTGTTTTATTTTCATCAAATTATAACCTATTTTTATTCTTTTAAAACTAATTCAAAATACATATGAAAAAGGAGATCGTAGAGATTAGAAACTGAACTTTAAAACTTGGGTTAATTATACTCGCACATTCTTTTGAGATTTACCTTAGTAACAGCTAGATGAAAATTAGACTCTTTTTTAACGGCAACACCTCTCATATTTGATAAAGTTAACAAAGGCATCCAATGCCACCTGATATATGATGAATTACCATTATTGTCCTTTAACATTTGAAAGTAATTTTTTTAGACCAAACTAACCCTCGCCTCCTCCTCCCATTCTCTCTCTACCCACCACTGCCCTCTCTATCTCCACACCTCTACCACCATAGCTACCACCGCCACCCCCTCAATCCATCACCACAAAATATATATATATATATACATACATATCTTTTATATATATATACACGCTCAAAACTCACAAAATATAACAAATTTTTAATTAATCAGGAGATAAATTGAAAATCCATCATATTAGGGAACATAATTTAGGGAAAGATAACTTATACCAAGTAACAGTTATATATAGAGAGAGAATAAACCCTATAATCAAGCAAAATAACCATAGACGATCAGAAGTCCAAAACCAAAATGAATAAACAGGGGAAAAAATTGAATTATGACATTCTTGATCGGATCACTAAAATTGAGTGAGAGATACAACTTCCTTGTAAGGATATATATATAAATATATATCCAAATCAATTTCTCACCTCCATGTATATAAGGATATATATAATATCAACAGAACTTAGCATATGTAAATATTATGTATATAACTAGATTTTTTGCAAGGGTCTTCAAGATTTTTTCTCCCCAAATTAACTTTGCCTGACGCCGCCGGTGGAGTTGGTGGCTCCGTCCCATCACCATATCCACCATCCAATGGCCTCAACAATTTGGTGATGGAGGTTTGTGCCGGCGGTGAGCTTTTCGATCTGATCATCGCCAAGGCACACTACTTCGAGCCTACCGTGGATGATTTGTGTTGCCAGATCGCAACTGTTGTGCACAACTAGCTGGTCTTCTGGTTGGGAGGTGGTGGTTCGTCGATGGGTGAAGGCCGAAGGAAAAGGGTAAGGGAGTTTGGAGAGGAGGGGTTGGGTGATGGGAGAGGAAGGGGAAAAGGAAGAAAGTCCCTCCATCTCGATCGGTATTTGCAATCAACGAGAGCAAGGTGAGGAGGGACTGATAGGTTAGAGAGAGAAAGTAGTAAATATATTAAATAATAAAGGGTAATTATGATGGTTGTTTTGGTCATTTTGCACTTATGATATTTTGTTATAATTAATGAATTAAGTAATGGAGGGTAATATGGATATTTTCGTGATTTTTTAAAATGAAAATGCTTACAGGGGGTGTTAATGTCCAAGGTTAACTATCATCTGCCTGTACCTCACGGGTACGAGTGTAATTAACCCTTAAAACTTCACCCCACCGTTTAACAACCCATAGAAAAAAAAAAATGACACGTGGTAATCAATGATTCGATCTCATTAAATTATATTATAACGCACGTACATCTGAAAACCCTCTCCCTCTATTATCATTATATATACAGATACAGAGGCGTAAAGCTTTCCTCGTTCTCGTCGATTCTCGCTTCTCTCTCTCTTTTGTTCTTATCGTCTTTGCGCTCTCTCGAGAAACTTCTCTCGTATATATATAAATATATATCTATATTTCTTCTCGCTTGTGTTTCCAATCTTTTGATCCTTCGCCCAATATTATTCCGATCAGTTTTGCCCTAATTTCTAGGGTTTGTTTTCTGTCGTAAACAACTTTGTACAATCTCTTGCGATTTTTTCTAATTCTTTCGCTATCAATCTGTAATTTTATTTTTTCGTTCGCAATCAAAATGCCCAATCCGAGCAAATCGAATCAGAATCCAAATCAAGTTCATGGCGGCAAAGATCCAGACGAAACTGTACCGCCATCGAATAACCTATGGGTCGGAAATCTGGCCAGTGATGTCACGGATCCTGATTTGATGAATTTGTTTGGGAAACACGGTACGCTCGATACGGTAACATCTTATGCATCCAGAAGTTACGCATTCATTTATTACAAGACCGTGGAGGATGCGAAGGCGGCGAAAGATGCCCTTCAAGGGATCGTGGTTCGTGGGAATGCGATCAAGATTGAGTTTGCCAGACCGGTTTGTTTTGCCTTCTGTGCCTCATTAGGTTTTTATCGTTGTTTAATTTGGGTTGTTTGTTATTCTTTTGAGGATGGGTTTATTTGTATCAAACATTATCATAGTGTTGTTTTGTTAGAAGAATTTTGCTGCCTTTTAAACGCAAGTTTTTGCTGGTGAACAAAATTTTGATTTTTATTGATTTATTTTTTTTTTTCCGCCTAATAATTTAGAATTTTGAATCCAAGCCCAAAATTCGAATAGGAAAATTCACGGATCTAGAAATTTCCGATTAAGTCTGAATATACAACGAGCCAAATTCCAAAATATTCAATCTGGAGTGCGAAAAAAGGATCTGTTTTTATTCGAAAAATCATAATTACAAATTTTAATTTGGATTGGAATTTAGAACTGAATGGAGAATCGGGATTCAAATTCAATCCATTTTGGTATGACAATATAATATTTTTATTTTTCAATTTTTAGTTTTATATGATGTAAAAATCCTTCATCAATCTTAGACACCCAGTGAAAATTTATAATTACAGATTTGACTTTGGATTGGAATTTAGAACTGAATGGAGAATTGGGATTTAAATTCAATCCATTTTGGTACGACAATATAATAATATATTTTTATTTTTCAATTTTAAGTTTTAATTGATGTAAAAATCCTTTGTCAATCAACTTCCAACCAAAAAAAAAATAATTCCTTCTCCAATCTTAAACACCCACTGTACTTTCACTTTTTGCTCCATCTTAACTGGCCTCCTTTCGTTAAGGAGTTTTGAACTACTAGTTTAAGTCACCTTACCTTCACACCAACATGAACTGATATTTTGTTGGAATTCGATCAAATGGAAATCAGCTTTAAAACATGTAAACAAATTGGTCCAGGCATTTATGTATTGTAACTAATATTAGAATTTATTATAGAAAATGAGTATTGGGTTTTGAAATTTGATACAAATCTCATTATGCAAGTGGGGGGCAAAGGGATAAAAACCCCTCTTAGCTCAAGGAATGGTTCGTTCTAAGTAGCCCCAAGTTTATAGTATTTTCACGAGGATCGGTCTGGATTTTAAACAGGACATTGTTATGTTGGATGGAAGTTACATTAGGTAAAAAAAATTGTGTCTAGACCCAACTTGATACAAGCATAGCTTTGTTATGTTAAAAAATGTTTAGCTAATTTGGCCAGAATGTGGATCACTTACATGGCTCTGCAAGTGGGAGAGAGTATTTGAGAAGTTTTAGCTTTGAATGAATGTGCAGCCCTGGCTTGGGTCATTAATTGACTCGTCTAAGCTCATTCTTAGCAAACAAGTTGAGCTCTGGTTTTTAATTTGTTTAAGAAAGTAGAAGAGACTATAATATCTGAGCCTTGGCTTGGTTAGCCACTGAACAAGTTCAGTGGCAATTATGTATAACATTAAACATATATGGCCATTCAATAACCTTGTTGTCGTGGTAACTTTCATTAGACCGATAAGAATATATTATAGCACAACGATCAACTTGGTGCCAAGTTCAGTTTTTATTGGTATTTGCTACGTCTCTCACAAGATAAATAAATTGAAACATAGGTTAAAGAATAGGTGGGCGAATTAGTGAACCTCAATGTTGGATCTTACATGTGCATGGGATGGCTTCATGGCATTATCATGTTGCATGTAGCAGTTTCTTATCTCCTGCAAATTCTTCCTTTTATAATTTACGTACTTACATACAAAGTTGTTAAAGGCACGCCTAGGCTCCAAAAAAGCCCTCGCCTAGGCTCGCCAAGGCTCCAAAAAAGTCCTAGGCTCAGCTAAAGCGTCTCAACCTACCATAGGCCAGGCCTATTCAATCAGACTCACATAAAGCCCTCAGGCTCACGCTCTTTAGTAGTCTTCAGGCTCAAAAAAGGCACGCCTTGTATTGTTTAATCATTTATTAGTATTATTTAATTTTTTACTTAATGACTACTAAATTAAAAGGTTCTACATCATATATCGTATTGTTTAACCTTATGAAAAATTTGTCAAAATTCGTAAATTTATGTTTACTACTAACATTAACAGCAATTATTGCTTGATTATGAGTATATGTAATAATATATGTTTAAATATGCATTACTATATACACGCGTCTTACTTCGATCTGGTTCGCGCCTTATACTGCGCCTTGCGCTTAGGCTCCAGAAGGCCTTTGGCACCTTAGTGTGCCTTGAGCCTTTAATTACAGGTTTGAGCTATCTTGCGATCTTGGTGAGTAGACATTAGTTAAGCTTTAAACAAATTTCTCAACTTGACTTGAGCATAAATAGAGCATGGATGGAGCCTGAAATTCCATAAACAGGTTCAGCTTGACACCTTTGTAGCTAGATCCCAATACACCAGTTCCAAAATCATTATTGAAGATGCATAATGAATGGAGCTGTGATGAAGCCGAGGATAGAACATTGCCCTTAGTTTTCTTCTTCAACCACTTCCAAAGGTTAGCTGAACCACTTAGTTCTTAGGTGATTTTATTTTATTTTATGTATTTATTTATTTTTTTTGATTTTTGGAAGGTACTTGGTTCTTAGGTTGCCATCCTTGCAATGTTCGTCTTTTTCCAAATCCTGTAGTGTGTGTGTGCGTGTATATATTTTTTAATTAAAAATAAAAATAAATAACAGACTGCTTACTTGTGAATGAAAGTCTAATGATTTATTGGAAATAATTTGTTCTAGCACATAATGCGATAGAATGTCCATTGTGATGTTGCATTTCCTCATGTTACGAAGGCCTAGTAGGCTAGTACCATAAAAGTTGAGCAATAGTTTCCTTTTATATGGATAAACAGTGAGAAGTGCTTGAACTGAATTGCATTCCCTTGACTTTGCAAGCTTTTTAATTTCCAAGTCTCGAGATAAAAGGATTTGTGTTTGTAAGACCAAATAATTGCCAAGCTATATTAAACTCCACAAACTATGAGTACCAATAAAATTATTAGCAGCAAAAGTGCCTCTCATTAAACTATTAACTGAACTTCAAGGCTCAATTTCGCAACACCCACCCCTTCCCCCAGCGCCCGCCCGCCCCAGCGCTATACAACATGAAAGTGTAAGAAGTCAATGGCCTATTGCAACCCAAACCCTCAAGTCTGACAAATACGTTAGTATATTGTTTTTGACAACAAATATGTTGGAGATATTTTAAAATGAGCGCTCTTCTATTGAGATCCTTAACATATCAGGTGCTGCATGCATGGCGAGGAAAGACTTGAAAAAACAACATTGTTTATTTAGAATGACCACTCTTCTTTTGTTTCAAATAATGTGTGTCAGGCATTTTGATTCTGAGGAAGTCAATTTAAAATACCTTCCATCTTGTGAGAGACTTTTTGGCAGTAACCACATGGTTGCTGATTGCAAGCTTGATTTTATATCTTCTTGGTATTACCATTTTTTGTAAAAATAAATAAATAATAATAATAATAATAATAAAATTCTACTTGAATTTTGTAACTATGAAAAATTAAAAAAAGTTTTTCGAAATTTTGAAGATAAGTATGAAATTATTATTTAAATATAGAGGAATTTGTACTCTTGGTATGAATAACTCGTCGAACAGATAATCACTAGTTGTGTGAGTGACAGGAGAGAAATAAAGCATCAATCACTGTTTTGAAACACTTAAAAGGGGAAACTTCATGGGTCTCCCATTATGGTTACATTATACTCATGAAGAGTGCCATATAAGACAAAGGAGAGAATTTTGTCATGTTGTGTGTAACCTTATAAAGAGACAAGATTTATTTATAGTACCCCCCTTTTCTCTATTTTAAAAGTATGATTCTATTGTACTGGATGAATTTGGGTAATTTGGTGGAGTTCATTAAGTTGGTTATATATTCATTATTGTTATAGAATGGTTTAACAAGTAACTAGGAGAGGGCATCACTCACTAAGAGCTCAAGTTAATAGTTGGAATAATTGCTGTCATATGCTTTTCAGTATGATATTATGCTTTCTACCATACTTTAGGTTGTTTTGAGCTTCTTTGAAGTCCTTTTTAATGTGAATTAGGAGAATTGTCTCCATTTTAAATCCACAAACTGGTTATGTTAGTCTAGTCAAAGAGTGCTCATGTGGGGTAAAGTCTTCCTCCACCTTTTTTTTTTTTTTTTGTTGAGTACAATACTCAGTGATAACCATTACTACTGAATGCCAAACTCCCTAGAACACCGTAGATACCAATGTCCGCCTCAAAGCAGTTGCTCACAATAGTGTTTTTAGCTTCTCATTGACAGTCATGGTCCTCATTGGTCCCACTTCATTTTGTGTCTTCATCTGTACTTGAGTTCAAGTGTTGTACAATGACATGTAGAATTATTAAGTAATTGTGTATGAGACAACATGTTTCAGTTTAACTGCTAAAGCCATTACCTGGTATGATCCTTGTTAATCAAGAGTGGTGGGAGGGAGGAGGAGATTGGCCACAGACCTTACCTATGTCATTATCTGCACCAAGTGAGTGCCTTAAACTTAAAGTTTCTGTCTTGTGATTGACAGTCTCATGGATTTAAAAAAAAAAAAAAAAGTATACGGAAGGAATATGGAATTGCTAGTAAAAATAGAGGGGACATGCTTTTTATGAGAAATTTTGAACGACAGCCCTAACCTTTGGTATAATTTCCACAACTTTGTAGTTGTTGTAAGAGCAAATATGATATCTTGCTGGATTACTTATCCCTCTTATTAAAGCTATTGCAAGTGTTGCTTAAGATTTTTGTCTCAACTAGTACTTAATTTGTAATTTAGGTATCTAATTTATTTATTGTTATGTACTAATGCTACGAATTCGTTTAATGCCATTGCAATTTTTGTTGTACACTGCATAGAATAGTTATAAAAGATTGACAAAAAATCTATATATGCTCCCAGAACGAAATAGACATTATCTTTATCTGCCTTCTGTAGCATAGAGGTTGACCTACAAACGTAGAATATGTGGCTGTACATATAGCTTTCTCAACTCAGTGTGATCTCCAACACCTATATATATGGGAGTGGGCTTATAACACTTAGGTGGTTGTTTTTCATTAAATATGCTGCGCTATACTTGTTTTGTGTGTAATTGCATGAACTCATGCAGTTTTGGAATGTTATTTTTGGAGTTTTTACCGAATCTTATTTGCAGGCTAAACCATGTAAGAGTTTGTGGGTGAGTGGAGTTGGCCCATCTGTTTCAAAAGAAAAATTGGAGGAAGAATTTCTCAAATTTGGTAAAATTGTGGAGTTCAAGTTCCTTAGGGATCGCAATGCTGCATTTGTTGATTATTCTAAATTAGAAGATGCTTCTCAATCACTAAAAAGTATGAACGGGAAGCGAATAGGTGGTGGCCAGATACGCGTGGATTTCCTCAGATCACAACCTTCAAGAAGAGTAAGATTTAAAATTCTAAAAAGCTTAAAGAATATTTAAACATAGCTCCTGCGGACTGGCTGATTGAGTGAGTCGCAGTGTTAACTGGGGCCTACATGCCTGAGCTGTATGTCTCGGGTTGTTGGCTATGGTTGTTTTCTTGTCATGCTATATGTCATAGAATAATTTTACTAGTCACTTAAATGACTAACAAACGCAACATTTTGTAGTCCTGTAATGGAAGATTGGTAATTGAGGCTGTTTGTTGATATGATTTTTAAAATTTACCTTCGGAGAAGTCTTGGGTAGTTGTACTAAGTGACTTACTGCCACCTTCAGTGGGGTTGGAAAAAAAAAAAAAATTCTAAAATAATTGCCTTTGACTTTAGTCTTTCTGGTTTGGTAGCAGTATTTCATGTACACCCAACTGAATAGATGCAATGGCAGGGTTGTCTAATAATGCATAAATAATGCCTAATGTTAGGTTTGTCTTCGTTTTTCCTACCATCTCCCTTGTAGGCCGGACATACACTGTGATGCTATTATGCTTATTAACTTTCTGTTTTTTTATTTGTCAATTTTCTCATATTAACAGGAACAATGGGCTGACATCCATGATGCAAGGGACACACAGTTTCTTAGCAGGAGCATGGCATTCTCTGATTCACCAAGGATGCCACAAGATTTAGTTAGAAACTATTCTGAGCTTATGCATTCTGGGTCCAAAAAGCAGCAGGTAAATTAACTGTCAACTCTTATCTTATTTAAGTATTTTAGAAGTTGTAATTAGTGAAAGCTTGGATGCTACAGTTGTTTTTTGAAATTGCCATTAATGGTGTGTCAGCTGTTCATTTAAACAATAACAATGTGACTTACCTGGTAGCAACACATGTGCTTCCTATAACTCCATGGCATTCTAGTTGCAGACCAGATCAATACTTAGCTGCTGGTGATTGTCATTTTGAAATTTGTAAAGTACAGTTGACTGCTTCATTTTTTGTTTATCATCTGTGAGCCTAAATATTAGGTCCTAGTTTTGAATTTTTTACTCTAGCAGGTTTCATGGTATCTAACTTCTGCTTATTGTGTTTGTGACAGCAATTTCAATCATTGGGAGTGCGAAAGGTGGATGGACAACCAACTAATGTCTTGTGGGTGGGTTACCCACCTTCTGTCCATATTGATGAACAAATGCTCCATAATGCCATGATTTTATTTGGTGAGATCGAGAGAATTAAAAGTTTTCCTTCAAGGAACTACTCTTTTGTTGAATTTAGAAGTGTAGATGAGGCACGCCGTGCCAAAGAGGGATTGCAGGGGCGGCTTTTTAATGATCCTAGAATATCGATAATGTTTTCAAGCAGTGATCTTGCACCCAGCAAAGATTTTGCAGGATTTAATCCTGGAATAAAAGGACCAAGACCAGAAATGTTTTTGAACGATAATCCATTTGGAGCTGCACAAATGGACATATTTACTCATAATCGCCCAGTGGTTCCAAATAATTTTCCTGGAATTTTGCCACCTAGTCATGGATCCAATATGGTAATGAGGCCTTTTGGTCCTCAAGGTAGCTCTGAACCTCCACTTTCAGGCTCAGATTTCAATGATTTGGATGTGCTCCATAAACTGCCAGACAGTAACCCCAACACTCAGATGGGTGGCCCAAATTGGAAAAGGTCATCTCCTTCTGGACCTGGGATTCACCATTCTCCTGCACCAGGCATGAAACCACCCATCAGACCTATGTCTGGTGCATGGGATGTATTTGATTCAAACCAAATTCAAAGAGAATCTAAACGATCGAGGATTGATGGTTCTTTGCCTGCTTGTGGTTCGTCGTTTCCTCTAAAAAAAATGGATCATCAAGGGATGAGTTTGGACCAGTTATATGGGCTTGCTGCACAAGATGGAGGTGCTTTAGGTTCATTTGAATTAGTTCAAGGAAGGAATCGCCTTAGTCCGGTAGATGCAAGATTCAAAACTGGTGGTGCTGGTCTGGGCCACCCTGATCCTGATTGCATATGGCGTGGCCTTATTGCTAAGGGTGGAACTCCAGTTTGTCGTGCTCGTTGTGTTCCTGTTGGTAAAGGGATCGAGTCTGAGATGTGAGTATATTTTGGTTGTTACCTCCAATCTCTTGTTTGATTACCCCTCTTATTATCGGATGTTTTGGATTCTTGTTTTAACTGATATACATTGCACATGCTGACATGTGGATTCTTGCATGACCTGATCTTTACATTGTTAGGCCTTTTATGCATGATATATCTATATATGTTTTTATTTGTTCAGTCTAAAATTCTATATCGGTCTTTTGGTTAATCTGTAATTTTTTTTGTTATAAAGCTAGATTTACAGACTCATAGAAATTTCAAGATCCAGCTATAATAAATTGTAATTTTCTTTGAATGAAGTTTTGTAATTTTATCTTGTATATTAATAAGTCATGAAGTATGCACCAGTCATCCAGTATGATTGATATGTTATGTTTAGAGTATAAGTAATGTTCTCAATAATATGCCAACCATGTAATTATTTCCAGTTTGTTGTCACTTTATGGAATTATTACATATGCTTCAATGTAGAAGCCCTAAACTTTATCACTTGAACTAATGTCATCACACAGTTAATCCATGGTTATTTATGTATCACAAAGTCTAAACTTTATCACTTGAAGTAATGTCATCACACAGTTAATCCATGGTTATTTATGTATCACTAAGTGGGAATAGTTATAAACTATTAAGACTTTATTTTTTTGGTAAGGATGGTTTGGTTTGGGCTCTTGTTGAAAACATTTAGTAATCATATCTCCACCCACCCATTTTTTAATCACTTGTGTATGGAAGAGAGTATTACCTAATTTTTCCTTTATCAAAACTACACATTTGAACCTATCTTTCTCTTCATTTTGGAATACTGGATTATTTTTAAATTAATGACTTGAGAATTCCTTTGAGTATGACAGTTTCACAGTCGAATTTTCAAATTTTGTGTTTTCGCACTTGATGAACTCAATAATTTGCCATTATCATATGGTAGATTTAGAATACGAGTATTTATCCTGGTATTTCTTATTCTAATGCCGGGATTTTCTATTCTGCAGTCCCGAGGTGGTTAATTGCTCTGCCAGAACCGGTCTGGACATGTTAACTAAACATTATGCTGAGGCTGTTGGATTTAACGTCGTCTTCTTCTTGCCAGATAGTGAAGATGATTTTGCTTCCTATACAGAATTTCTTCGCTACCTCGGTGACAAAGACCGGGCTGGGGTTGCCAAATTTGATGATGGGACCACCTTATTTTTGGTGCCTCCATCAGATTTCCTCACAAAGGTCCTGAAAATTGCAGGCCCTGAACGTCTCTATGGGGTTGTTCTGAAGTTCCCCCAACATGCCCCAAGTGGCACATCGGTGCAGTCACAGCCACTTCAGTCTCAGTACATTGAGAGACAGCAGATTTCTTCTCGAACTGATTTTAGTTTAGTGCCTCAGAAGGAAGAAATAGTTTCGCATTTGGATTATAATAGGGTTTTACATGAGGACCCAATGGCCACACAGAATTTTGCTCTACCAACTAGTAATTCTCCACCTCTTCAACCAGTTACCTCAATTAATACTGCAGCAGTATCCCAAGCTGGTGTTAGTTTAACACCTGAGCTTATTGCCACACTAGCTTCTTTAATACCTGCCAAAGAAAAGTCTTCTGGTTTAGAAAGTAACCAACCTCCATCAGTATCTTCCTCCTTGAGGCCTTCATTGCCTTCTAATGCTGCATCTGATAAGATAATTCTGTCACAGGGTTATGATCATCAAACCTCCGAGCATACTGGTTATCCTTTGCAACAGTTTGGTACTCGGTATAATCCCGAGTCACAAATTCCTCAGCTTCATACTTACCCAACTGTCTCAAATTCACTTAACCATTCTGCACAAGGGGTTACTGGCAGCTCTCTAGTTCTAGATCCCGCTTTCAACCTGCCACAGCAAGCTGCAATTTCTTCTAGGCCATCAGCTAATTACCCATTCCCTCCTCAGAGTGGGCAGTTTGCAGGTTCCCCGCAGGTCAATCAGCAGTATCAGTTTGATGTTCCTAGGAATACTCTGAAGGGCCATGAGATGGCACATGGAACAGATGCTTCTGGTTCATATGGTCCATCAGTCTATCAGCAATCTACAAACTCCTTTCCATCATCTAATCAGGGTTATGGTTCTAACGTTTCCCGGCCTGATACTACAATGCCACTGGCGACTGAAAAAGTGAATTCAGATCTTTCGAGTCAGGTTCAGCAGCTTCAGTCTGCACTCTCTGGAGCAGGTCAGGGGACATCGGAGATGGATGTTGATAAGAATCAGCGGTACCAGTCAACACTACAATTTGCAGCTAACCTCCTCCTCCAGATACAACAGCAGCAACAGCAACAGCAACAGCAGCAGCAGCAGCAGCAAACAAATGCTCAGGCAGGTCAAGGACTTGGGAATCATTAATGAGCTTTTCCTTCGATTAGGTAATTACTCAAACCCATTATTATTTGTTTCTTTTTTAGTAATTGAGTTCTTCCAGAAGTAATTGGCATCATCATCATCATCCTTGCCTTTATCCCATATGGATGGGGTCGGGGCATATGAAATCTCCTTTTCCATTCTTATGTCTTCTCTTAAATTTAAGTTTTTTAAGTCGTTTTTAGTTACTTCATCTCACGTAAGATTTGGTCGGCCTAAAATGAGGTATCTGTTTAAGGAGGGTACTTTTACTATAGTTTTTGCAGATCTGTTATTCTCGTTTAAATCTAGCATGTTGGTGTGTTTAATCTTGGTAATTTGGGGAACATACGGAAAAGGGAGTGAGATGTTGTGGAAGCTGCATTGGACTTATACTATCTAGTGTCCCTTTTTGAACTTTATTTGGATGTTGGAGGAATTGAACTGTTAGTTACTTGATGTTTCTGTATGTTACGAGGCGTACGAGAGGGAATGACTAATCTCTAGATTTCTTTAAGAAACTTAACTTTGTGGAAGTGTTTTTGGCTTGGAAGGTTAAAAATTTTGGTTTCATTATTAGCTATGGGAATTTGATGCTGATTGGGTTTCATTTATTAGCTATGGGAATTTGATGACTGACCGAAAGAAGCTGAAGGGTGTTTACAGGTGTAAAAAGGTCTCTTGGATCTATAACCTGATTTATAATTGGTAACATTTGCCTTAGGCAAGCCTGATACATGAGTTTGAATTGATGCTATTCATCTTTTGTAGCCTCTTAGTCAAGAAGTTTACTTCTCAACATTCTTAGTGAGTCTTCATGTTTGTTCACATGCTTGGAAATTAGTTTCAAATGAGAAAGTGATTGCATCAGATGAAGGAACAATGTTAATTGCTGCTGCTTAGATGGTACAGATAATTTTTATCTTGTGAGATATTTTGAAGTTTGTGATTCTGGAATATGTGCACATAGACTTGGAAATGAAACATTGGACATTGTGCCAAAGTAATATAGAAATTGGGATGCCGCTGTGTATGTGTATTTTTTGTACTTACCATACATTAGAATTGTTTCTATGCGTGCACGTGTAAGGATTGCAGAGGAAGAAATAGTGAAGAAAGAACTCCTAATGGATTTAGAACAAGAAGGTAAAAGAAATTGGGAATGCCGCTGTGTATGTGTATTAATGAGTTATTTGTACAAGAGCTCAGAAGAGTAAAAAACATTTTTTTTTTAATTTTTTATTTATCAAAAAAATGCCTTTTGCTCTTCTGAGCTCTTGTACAAATTGTTGGGGCATCAAATTAATGCGTCTTACTGTGACACATTGGCAGATAGTGGTTGAACAACTAAGACGTGTACTGAGAAGACTAATAGAATTTATAATGTGAAGAATGAAATCATCATATGGTATTTGTAGATTTTAGAGAGCCTATGATGGGGTTCCTAGAGTTATAATATGGTTGGTTTTAGAAAAATAAAAGAGTCGGAAAGATATATATTGACATGATACATATATTATATAATCGTGACTATAGTCAGGTCAAGTGTGGGAGAAACCAGTTTCTGTAGTAGAATTAAGAGAATTTTCAAGGAGTAGTAGTAGATTTAAGGGAATTTTAGATAAGTAGCTGTAAAACTGGATAATGAAATGTAACTTTTGCACTACTAGAAATAGAATTAGGGATGTAGTGAATTTTGAGGTTTGAGATATAACGAAAGGTCTCAAACCAAAAGGTTATCATTTTTGTTACCTGTTCTTGTTAGTTCCTTATCCATCTATGTTTCCACACTTTTACGTTAGCACAAATCTGAGCTATACAAGTCCTCTAGTTGGGAAGTTTAGAACGGATTGTCACCTACTGTCAGGTTACTCCTTGGTTGCCATGCACTAGTATTTGAGTGGGCAGTGGCAGCCATTTGTTGGTCATTCTATCTGTCCACTTGGACAGTAATATTAGCTTGGGAGGATATGCAGGATGAATTTATATTCATGGTTTGACCTTATGTTGCCACACCATTTTATTACACGCTAGTTTGTGTGGAGAAATGGTACGCAGAACTAGTATGTATAATGTCTTAATTGTTATTTATATGGTTAGTCATTTGGAGGGCCTTAATTTTATTGAGAATCCATCTCTATAAGGTATCTGTTCAATGAAACCTGTGGAATTCTTATTGCAAGATTAAAGATTTTTGTGAGATATTATGTGGACTAAGCAGCAATAATATATAGTTGGATTGGTATCTTTTACTGTGATATGGAGTTTTTTAGGAATTTATCCAATACCCCCCTTCCAATGCCCTCTTAGGCAGCCATATTGATAGTACCTTTCTTCGTGACATCTGAGATGTGGGTCTTACAATATTAAGACGATTTCAGCTTTTCCATGGTAAAACTGCTCGGATAATTGCATTGTAGTTAAGTTTGATTTTTTTAAGATGGAGTTGAAATAAGGTGGTGGATTAGCAGTTGCAAAATGTTTTCTGGAGCCCATTTGTGCACAAGTGTTCATTTAGCTTGATCAGATCTTTTAACATGTTGACTCATCATCCCGTTGGATCTCTTCCGACTTTATGTTGGTTCGTGTCATTTCAAAGTTCACGTGTTTTGATATTTTCTAATATTTATGCATATATGCTTTTAATTTTCTTGTGCCTGCTTAATCCTCTGTTTCTAGATTTACCTCTCGCTACTGATGTGCTTTCATTTCAATTACTAGATTAGTCATCATCTCATTTAGTATCAATCATATAGAGCTCACTGTTTCATCACTCTGGGGAAGGAATGGTCTTTTCATATATTTTGCTTAGCTATTTACCACCCATTAGGAAAACCTTCCATAAACATTGGCAGATGTAATTATGTATTGTAAATTGTCTTGTCTATTTTTATTTTATTTTTTCCCTTGCCAAAAAAATTATCTCGAAAGACTCTGGATGTTGGTGATTTCATATCATCAGATAATAACAATATAGAGCTCCTCTGGAACCTCTTTCTCAAACTTGGTAATGATGCTCATAATAGATTATTAGTAAGATCAATAAGAAGTTAAACCAATTTTAATATTTTAAATAGTTACATTACCTCCGTTTCGGGGTACAAAGTGGCCAATTGATGAGGCATCGTTCATAGATTCTGGTCAACCATCCAAAATTTTCAAGTAAAAGAACACTTTACATGAATAAATTACTGTTTTGGAGTATAAAAAGTTATATAATCAAATATTGGAGTTGTCTTCACATCTCTATCTATGCTTTGGGTTACGCACAACGTTTTTGTTCCTAAAAGGCTCACAAGTTGATTCCTCTTAGGCAGTGCCACGGCGCTATTTAGAACCACCTCTTCACGAAATGATGAATAAAGATAACAAAAAAACCCACGAAACTAGATTATTCTATATGCTCCCTGGGTATTCTATTATGTCTTCAAAACCACCATTTTAAACCATTCAATTTGATGGTGAACATCTATATAGCACTAGGCTGCCCTTCAGCCCAAAAACAAACATAAATAATTAATTAATAAGAAAGAAAGAAAAAAAAACAAATATATATATGTACGCACCTATATATTTGCATAGGCCTGTGCTGCTCGCATTTAAACGAATTTTATATGGTACAAGTTACAATAGATTTTTCAAACCCATGAGAGTTTTTCAATCCATCTACGGGTATCATTTTTATCATTTTCAAGTTTAAGATGGTAATAGTAAAACTCGTCAATATCAAGCATTTGAGAGGGATGTGAGGTAGAGGACGCAGAACCAACATTTCGTATCAATCATCTAACATCCTGAATGATCTATACCCTCACCTCACCCTAGAAACTCAATCCTTACATTTTAATCTCGAAAATGTTTACAAATTACTATCTTCACATTTTAATCTTTGATTACAAACTACCATCTACACATTTTAATCCTGAAAATGTGTTTACATATTTCATGTCGCTGTAAAGTAGTTAATGGTATTGGTAATGTGAATATCCGCTGTTCATAATTCAAACTGGTTTCTAAAATTGGTTTATCAAATGAAAAACAATATTAATAATAATCTATGTAGCACGGATACGAATACGTTAACACATAAAATTTTTAAAAAGTAAGACACGAGTACGGCGTGAACGAGTATACTAATAATATAATTTTTTTTTATTAGTATACATCTATTCAAGAATAGTATTATAAAATTTTAATACATTTATAATTTTTGTATTAAAGTTGTTCTGAAGTGAATTAGAAAATGAAATTATGTCATTATTGTAATAATTTTTATATCATATATAAAATTATTTCATTACTTTGTTGAGATAGTATTTATATTATTTTTTAGATTATTGGGTAAACTAGTATTACAAATATTTGAAAAGTGTCGGCGAAATGTCCGAAATAATAAAATTAATTTTGAATGTTACATGAAGTGTCAGACACACACATATCCGAGGAGTGTCGGTGTTTGACACTACTACGATAGACATATCCGAGGAGTGTCGGTGTTTGACACTACTACGATAGAGTATGGAATTGTCCGTGTTTTCTAGATAATAATAATAGACAATTAGTGGCATTGGAGGGGTGATGATTGTAGTGAAATTGCACAGGGTAAGGTAGGTGGAAGGCAATAGTGGGTTAAGATGGTACGGATAATTACTGGAGACCATTATTTGGGACCCATTATGTAAATAATATTGTCCTTTTTCTAATATTTTAATTACCACCACACGCAATTTGGGAAAGGTCCGTATTCATGTTATACGCTGAACCGAACCGAATTAAGATCATGTTTTTTTTTTTTTATTTGAAAGCGGAAAAAAAAATATATATATTCAAAAGTTTTGGTTCAAAAACGTCAGCGGAATTGTGACACTTGGTACTGGAATTTTTTTATTTTATTTTATTTTCTTGATGCAAAAGTTAGGCTTTTTGATGTCACCATCTTTCGTGAACAAGGTGTGGTCATTCCTGTTGTGTTATGTGGGTCCACGAATTTAATACTTCTATCAAGAAGACTTGACAGGAACACATGACAACATAATAAACGAGTTGAGATTTGATGCTTCGCCGGATGAGTTAATTTTTTTTTAGTTTTCTTCAAATCATTTCTAGTTTGAACATGACAAAACGTTTAGGTTTATTTAGTTTTAATTTTTTTTTTTGTGCAAATAATAGTTAAATATGTCATTTATCTACACATTAACCTAAAGTTATCGGATTATTAAAATTAATATTAATAAAAAAATAAAAACTATATCTTACGTCCCCTAAAAGTAGGTAAAAAGTTAATATAGAAACAGATCACAGACCCGAAGAAAGAGAAGGCGGCGGCAAAAGTGGGTAGAGAGCTAAATTATGCTAATCATCCCTTAAATGAATTCAAATAAATTTTGCACTCTTTGAACACATCATCTCTCTGAACGTGTTAGAATGTGTGCGTGACATTCCTTTGTTTTTTTTCATTAGAATAAATTTTCATTTGGATTTTGATAAGTTGACTTTTAGAAATGATGCCTGTCATATGTGGGGGAACTATGAGCCCAAGCTAATGCGTGTCTGGTACATGGTCAGTCAACTTTTTTTTTTTTTTTTTTCAAATTTTCTTTTCTTCCAAAAATTTAAAATACCCTCAAACTCACAACTTGCCACAACATGCCTTTTAGCTGGGCTCAAGCCTTTTGAAACGGAGAAATTATATCAACTGGACTAGTTAATTTAGATAAATTTTTTGAACTAATGGAATGATAATTTTCTGATTTTGTTAACAAATTGGTATAGCAAATGTCAGAGAAATTGAATTACTTTCGAACGCTACATTATTTAATTGATACTTAACAAGCCAACTTTGAATGGTACGGACAAGCATTTGTGCAACCTTGAATGAACAATATTTAATTTTTTTTTTTTTTTTAATTTAACTGGCAGAGCATGAAGAAGTGAATGACCATGGCCGGAAGTTACGTTTGGAAGAAGAATGGGTTTTCAACAAAGATATATGTAGACGTCCGTACTTAGTCATGGGATTGGAATGAATGGCTTGTGGGGAGATCTCTGTTCAATCAAATGTTTTTTTTCTTTTTCGAACAAGTCTTGTAGTTTTTTCAGTTTTGTTTCCGTCTTCAACCAGGAATTGTGTTTGTGTTAATTAATTGTATTACTTATGTTGGTTTTCCAATTACATAATCCTTACAATTTAAATTGGTTTTGAATGTGTGTTAACCTTTTTTAATTGTTTCTAAACTTTTTGTCTCCCGAACAAACACAAATACTAAAAGGGTTTTAAATTCGTGTAACATTGGTGTATAACGATTTAAATGTTTTAAAAAATTAAAGTATCCTTTAATAAAAAATAGATTAAAAAAATAAATTAAACGTGTGTAGGTACTAAAATTTTAATGGACTTTTGTTGTGACAAATTGACCTATCAAATATGGGTTCAATGTTTAATTAAATTATTTAATTGGTTCAAACTTTGTTTACTTAAATTATTTAATTAGCCCAGCCCAAATGATTAAATGAAAAGATAATTATTCTTAATAAAATATATTTGAAATAATTATTTTTATGGATAATTATCATAATATAATCGGCCGCCCGGTTATAGATAACACGTGTCATTATCCTATTAATTTAAGAAACCTATAAATAAAGGTATGGAGGAAGGGGTCCAGAAATTGAGAGACTTAGAAATCCAAAGGGAGAGAAATTGAGAATTCTAGAATTTTAGAGAGAAATACAGAATTTCTACCGACATTCATCCCCAACATCCAAACCTGAAGGTGGAGAGCAACAAACACATCAAATCGTACCGTTCTTCATCAAAATTCTATAGTGATCAACAACAAGCACATCAAATCGTGTTGTTTTTCATCAAAATTCCACGGGGATCAATAACAAGTACATCCAAAGTCGTGCCGTTCTTCACCAAATTCAACAAATTTTCTCTAAATACGAAGAACAACAAGCACAACCAAAGCCGTGTCATTTTTCCACAAATTCAACAAATTCTCTCTGAAGGCGAAGAACAACAAGCACATCCAAAGCCGTGTCATTCTTCCTCAAATTCAACAAAGAATAACAAGCACATCAAAATTGCGCCTTTTTTTTCCCTACGATTCAACAAGTTTGAAGAATCATCAAACAACACTGTTCGAGATCAAGCTTCGTCAGCCCTCAATTAGAAATCATCAGCGATCTTCCTCAACTACAAATACTTGAAGAAGATTGTCAACAGCCCGATTCAAGATCAAGCTCCAACAGTCCTTGGATCTAACTAATAAAGGAGATCGAATCAGAGGATATGTTCTTTCTTTTGTAAAGAATATCTCAAAGGATTGTATTCAAATTTTTATAAAGTAATAAAATTCTATTTGCTCTCTATTTTGTTCTTTTATTTGCAGTCTACCAAATTTGTGTATACAAATTTTTGGCACACTCGGTCGGACATCCTTTGCCTCTCATCTCTTTCTCCTTCATCAAATCCTTACCAAATTTATCGTCAGAATCTATGACTTCTAACAAGATTCAAACGAAGAGTAAGAATACCAAGGATATCGCAGTCGTGACGGACAACATCATTACCACCACAAAAGGTGGCAAGAAGGTTGCAACTTCATCAAATGGTACAAACATATTTGCAAGCTCAATGATGTGGAACATAGTCAAAGTATCCGTTCCTGCCAAAAGACAGTACAATGAGATGAGAGTCGATTCCGCCAAATCTGTCAGAGTAGTAACTCAAGCTCATACCGCCTTCACCTCGCTGGGGGCAAGGAGGAATATTCCTACAACCTCAAAGGTTGCTCCAGTCACAAGTTCAAGTTCAAGGTTGGTCCACCCAAGGCCAAAGATTTTTTCTGACTTCGTCACTATGCTAGTTATGATGGCGAGTACTACCTCGTACGAAGAGCAATTGACGAGTATTGTCCGTGCAATTGAAAGATTATAACACATTCTCAAGGAGCAAGATTTGAAAATTACCTCGTTGATAGAAAAGTTAAAATTGCGCGACGACAATGCTGAGTCAAGCAAAGGCCGAATTCCTCATTTTAATTCCATGCCAGAGACCACTCCAATTGATGATCAAAATGACATCTCCACTAATCCAAGAATTGAAGTTGCCTCCGTCACCTCACTTTATATCCAACAACTTCAAGACATGATAGTGATATGCATAAGAAAACAATACAGTGGCGTTCCTCAAAGTGCTTGCATGTACTTAAAGCCTTACACAGAAAGAATTGACATCTTAAAAATGCCAATTGGGTATCAACCTCCAAAGCTTCAACAGTTTAACAGAAAAGGCAATCCCAAGCAACATGTCACACACTTTGTAGAAACTTGCGGCAATGCTGGTACAGACAAAGATCTCCTTGTCAAGCAATTTGTTCATTCCCTTAAAGGGAATGTATTTTAAATCGAAATTGGGTCATTCTTGAGCTCAAATTCAAGAATTTTTCGTCTTCTTTCCAATGGTACCAATTTCATTATCAGATTCCCATCCTACTAAGAGATATTTATGTTTTAGTGAGAAAGTGTCGGAAAACTATTTAAACCAATATGGAGTATTTAAAGGAAACTATTTCTGACATATTTAGTTGCACTAATTTGTGTAAATATAATAAATTAATAATTTGTTATGGAAGGAAGTGTATATATATATATATATATATATATATATATATATATATATATGTATATTGATTTTAAATAATTAAGGATTATTAAAGAAGGTGTTAAACACATATATACATTAAATAACATATGTGTAGGTATATATATATATAAATCATTTAAGATGATTAATATTATCATTCTTATTTGGTATATCTTAATAGGCTGGTTGTTAAATTAATGATATGCGTATAATATGCATGTGATGGCTATGTATGATTTAGCGTATTGTTAATTTTAAAGTTAATTCATGGTTAAAGTGTGGGCATGGATGAATTGTCAAATGATTAAATATATTACCTAAATATTTGTATGAATAGAATACATATATGGAAAGCATGGATGAATTGCTAATTAAATGTATGAATAAATATACCTGTGGAGGCATGGTTGAATTGCCAATGTATAAATATACATACACGGAGGCATGGTTGAATTGCCAATGTATAAATAAATATACTTATGGAGGCATGGTTGAATTGCCAATATATAAATAAAAATATTTACAATGGCATGGTTGATTTGCCAAAGCATAATTACGTTGTTATGTGTTAGATGATTAAAATATCATCTATGGTTGTTGTATGTATGGATTGGATTAGGGTTAGATATTCTTAAATGAGAATAGTTTAGTACTTACTGGTTAGTGTATTATTTTATATTAATAAAATAATATTGGGGAAGACGTGGATGATTTGTCAAAACTTGGATTTTGGATATGTGATTTAAACAATTAAAATCATTATCGGGTTGGGATTAAATAGAGTATTTCTTTTATTATAATTTGTTGTTTAAATGATTAGACAACTGACTAGGATGGGATTAAGGTCAAATGAGTTTTTATAAAATGAAATGGTAGATTGGTCTAGGTATGAATATTATTTTAATAATTATTTAATAGGTATGGAAATTTAATAAACCTATTAATGGATGTGATTAGTATAGTATATATAATTATATATAGACATGTATATCGTGCTTTATTAAAGTTAAAACTTTATTAGGTTTGGTTTTGATCAGAGATGATCTGCTTATTGGTTTTCAGAGGCCTGGTATAGTGAACTTGCTCGTAGGGTTTAACCCACGATTTATTTTTCAGGTTATTAGAGGTTCTAGTCTCGAGGTTGAAGATTCGCAGCTGGGAGACTGTCATTCGTTTATTCATCTTGTGTACTTTTAAATAGTATTGGATTATTGGATAATGTTTTAAGGGGTCCTTGAGTTATGGGATTTCCGAATTGTAATTGTTGGAGAATCATTAAGTAATATTTATTTATTAGTTTTCTTCAGCGGTTTATTTATTCTTTATTATTCATCTTTGTATTCTGTGCTTGTTAAATACTTAAATTGTTTTGATATCCCTTGATTTTGTGCACGGACTTGATCAACCTGTGTTCCAAAATTAGGGGGTATCACAGTTGGTATCAGAGCACTCCAGGTTCAAGTGTCCCTAGGGTGTCTTTCGTTGTGTGACTTCCGCGTTGTGTACTCTTTTACTTAGAGCTTAAGTTTATGATTCATTGTATTCTATATTCGGTCCGTTAGTGTGTCCTAATGGTAAATCATTGAGTCTTATCAGGAAAATGGTAAGACACCGATTTAGAAGGTATTGGTAAATCGTTGAGTCTTCCCCTAATTTTGAAGTATGGGTTTTATGGATTTATGCACCAATAAAATAATATGGAGGTATTTTAGGGACGGATTAACGGAATAGTTAAGTCCTACCTATTTATTTATGAATTGTATGGTTTAATACACCGGTATGGGACGGTGGCATTTCAGGGACGGATTAACCAAAGAAATTAAGTCCTACCTATATATTTATAAGGGAACGGATTAACCACAGCGTTAAGTCCTACTTATTCGTGTCAGGTCAACGGAATAGTTGGATGGTATGCCATTGAAATAATATGGTTGGATAGTTTACTTTTATGTGGATATAATGGATTATATATATATATATATATATATATATATATATATATATATATATATATATATAGCTTATATCATGGCCCATATATGTGTGTGTGTATGTGTATATATATATATATATATATACACATACACACACACATATATGGGCCATGATATAAGCTTGAGTCTCAGGATCAGTGGTTAGGATGGAGGCGTATATTGCCGATTGAGATGGGTAGCTGGGTTTAAGGATGTGTGGGCTCTGGTAGAAGGAGGACTCGTAACCACCTTTGTGTGCGTTTTACATGAGATACCCACTATCCGGTTGAAACTGCTTTAGTCCAGTGAGAGTCTCTAGTGTGTACTTATATTTATCAATTATATAAATATGGAATTAGCTAATTACGTGATGTGTCTGCTAATAATGAATATGTGTGGATGGGTTAATTTCCACACGGATAAAAGGAATAATGAAATTTGAAATTAAATAATCAAAATTTTTATTTCATGGATTTGTGAATTCCGAGGACGGAATTCCGTTTGTTAGGGGGGAAGAATGTAATACTCCGATAATTTTAAAAGATTTATTAATTAGGATTAATTATTTTATTTTAT